CACGGAGATAAGAAATGCTGGTTATTATCTAAAGAAGGTTTATTTTCTGTTGTACATGTTAACCAAACTGCCCAGTAGTTCACTCATTCTGATGAGTAAACTGCCCAGTAGTTTACTCATTCTGATGGTTCAGAACGATCCTGTCATCTCAGCGCCATTTTGTGAACAGTGGTAACTTTAGTCACCACTTTTAACTCCTAAATCTATGCCAGAGAACTGAATGGAAAAACCCCCAAGGAGTTACACTCTCCTACAATGCTCTGTCTTCCAATGCATGCACCACTCCCATAGGGACACCAAGTCCAAGTCATTTATCAGAAGACCAAGTCAAGATCACTCCCTTAGGATTGAGCACCTATGCCACCTCAGGATAATATAGAAAGAAAAAGACAGGAACAACTGAAAGTAGGAAAATCCCGTGACAGGCTTGATGTACAAAACACTTTGCAAGAAGGAAGATGGTCTCCATAAAATTATGAGTTATACTGACCTTTCACCAATGGACACATTGGTGAGACTGAATGCTGGCTACCTGGAAAGCAGGCAGGAAAAGACAAGGCTGGACTCACTTGAATACCCACACAGTGGTGGGGAAAGGGAGAACAGAGCTTAATTCAAGGATAAGAGAACCTGCTGCCCTTGAGGAGGTGCAGCACTTGATTACATCAAGTTCCTGATTCAGCCCAGAATATGCATCCTTGCCAACCAAGAGACAAATTCATGTAATCTCAGATTATGGTTTTGATATTGTTTACTTCAATTAAGGCAGTAAACATTTTGTTTTTCAATTTCAGTTTGAAGATTAGTAACTCCTGTCTTTATAAACCAAATTATACAAGTACAAAAGCAATAGAAAAGAAAGACTACCTAACAGGCATACACTTGCCATTTGACCACAGAATTGCACAACTGCATCAAATTTAGTCACATGAAACGTCTTTATAGCTTCCTATCTAAAGGAAGGAAGTCTTGGGATAGCTCTACAGCAAGGGATTGCATGAGTGCACTGGGAGAGCTGAACTCCCCTGGCCAGACCCTTTTCAGCATTCACACAAGTCCATTTTGCACTGGCTCTGGTTAGTGCTGCTGTATCACACCACACAACTAACACACATTCTTCAAGGCAGCTGCCAGCCCCAAACAATGTTTTGAAGAAAGGAGCACTGTGTGACAATTTAAAGAGAAAGCTTCCCCAGAGGAGAGGATACTGGAAATAAACGAACTGCCTGAGTAAAACCACTCTCCTAGTCCTACAGAGTAGATCTGAATCCTGTAAAGGAAAGTAAGAACACAGGTGTCCCCATATCAGAGCGAATTCTTGTTAAGAAAATAGATATCATCAGAAGTTTAATACAAGAAAACCAAACGTATTAACTATGAACTACTGTGCTCAAGGCTGAACACTGGACAGGGAACAAGTACCCACTGCACAGAGATGAAGCACATTTAAACTCTGTACTCCTAATGCCAGGGTGCACCTAAAACTCTCACATTTGGAATTAACAGCAGAAAAAGAAGTACTGACAGTCAGTGGTGCTGTCAAGGGACAGAGAAGGTTAAGGAACTGTTATACTAAGACTGAAAGGGACACCAGCCCATCTTGAAGTCAGATGCCCAAAACCTGTGGAATCCTAATTTACCAAAACATAAGGTACATTTAAAAGTATGCAACATAGAATCAAGGTAATGCAAGGGAGTGTTCAAACGGCTGTTGTAATTCCCACCACTCATATGCCCAGAAGTGTCTTCTGCCAAGCTTAAGAGAACACATACCAAGAAATCCATTTCAGCCCCAAGCTTTCTCAAGGAATTTCCAAATAATCACGGCTGACTTGAGAGCAAAGACAAACTGTTGAAGCTGAAACAAGCAAAAGCAAGGTTTGCCTTTTGCTAGAAATAAACTTTTATCTTTGAGACCTACAAAGGCTTATCAGAGATAACAGCAGTTAATGTTGCAACAGAGTATCAATCTTTGAGTCAGGTTCCTCAGTACTTACAGGCAATTCCTCACTTTGCCATCTGCTACTGATCAGAAAACATCCTAATCGCTACAGAACAATCTAGAAGCAGGTTACACAAAAAAAATGAACTCCTTGGTCAGCCAGAACAGAATCCTTGGAAACATAACTCAAAAGTGGCATGTCAGGGAATCTGCAGAGTTCTCAGCCAGTAAGAAGTTACTTCACAAGTCAGAAAAGCTGCTGAAGTCAAAGCCAAGTAACTATCACATGATGACTGGCACACTAATTCAGATCCTTAGAGACTGTGTCAACACACTTGAAGCAGCTATCAAGCAAACACTATGTCAAGGGCAGCACTTGGTAAAAAAATATTTCCAAAGTTGCTCAACATTAAAGCAGTTAGATTTTGTGAAAACCAAGTTATACTGGTCTCAGTTGCAAACACCCAATAATGCCAAACCTGATAAAACCAATTCTGCACCAGATTTCTCACTGGCTGGAATTCATTATCAAGTTTCTCAACTATCTCTACATGGGTAGCAAGGTTTGAAATTCCTCTTTGGACTAGAGTTGCACAATAGAAACACGTGGATTATACGTCCGTGACTCTGAAATGGCATCACACTATTCTGAAAAACTAATTTTCCCTTCTGCAATTCTCAAACACTTCCTTACTTATTCACTACACGTGTCTGATTCTAACCTTAAATTTTCAGGAATGTGCTCTCTTTGTGTTTCAGTAATGAAAAAATGTACGGGTGCTCTAGACCACAGCGAGCACGAGCAGCTCGGTTGGGCTTGGCACACAACCCAACTGACTCATCATGCTCAACAACAGGCAAGCACCATCTTACTCAGTATTCCAAAAAGCAGCAGCTAAGTTTAGGAGAGGTACTTCCATTTCCCATAGGCTCCTTTCCCCGCATGTACCACATGCTACCTAAATGTTTTCTTAATTCCATATGTATATTTGATGGTGGTGAGGAAATTAATTACAAAATGCTCAAAGCTGGCACATGAAACGTTCCGCTTAGTGCTTGCTGCTCAATCTAAATAGAAAAGTGAAACACTAAGCGAGGTATGGTGAGCTATTCAGGTGGGAAAAAAAAATCTGCTGTCCTGAAGTCAAGGCATCACCAAACAAGCTTTCACATCTGCCCCACCCATACTAATCTTTCAGTCTCCTGTGATCATGACCTTATCCTAACTAGTGTTAACTCAAATGATTAAAAGGCTGCAAATGAGCTACAATATAAGAAGACTTCAGCTCATTTATTATTTTTATCTCTTATTCTTCTCCCCTCACCTACAACCCAAACCACACCCTCTAGCAAGAAAGGGGTCTCTATTTGCACCACAAGATCTTCCCCCAAGATTGTCATATAAAGCTATGCAGAAACACCCAGCTACTATACACTGACACAAAGTCGTGACTATCAGTAAATTAAAGAAAAAGTAAATAAAAATAAATAAAAACGAAATAAATCTGTGGTAAAATAAACTATTCTGTTGCCTCAGTTGCAGAAACCTAACACATCTCACGTGCCAGAATGTGACAAAGACAGTGCACCGAATGATGTTTGTAACTGCCAGTTAAGCAGAGGAAGGCTATATATACTTAATAGTTAATACTTTTAGGCATTATATACTATAATGGCTAAAAGTATTAACTGTGGTACCACATAAAATTCACAAAAGCTGATTTGAAAGCAAACTATAAAGCAATTCTTCATTTAAGCCATAACTATATCAAACAATCTATTCCAGTAATTCCCACTACGACAGCAGTTCAACGACGCTTCAGCTGGCAGCCCTAAAAAGCAGGAGCACTGTAAATCACCGTGCTTGCTGCACTGGCTCACGAGGGCTGGATATTTGAACTGCTCAGTGCCCTTTGGGAGCGGCATCGTCTGGGCTCAGTGAAACCGAAGCACGGGCAATGGCGATAACCATATTTACTACCAAAGAGACGGTACAGGAGTCGCCAAGACCGTCCCAGCTCAAAAATGATGGCAGATAAGCATTCGCAACTGCTACTCTATTTGAGAAATATTCTGGCCAGCTGCAGAACAAGTTTCCTTTGCTGCCAAAGCCACAGCTCAGAAACCTGATAGCGTTGTGTGATGTGGCTTTCAAGACGAGAAACCAAAAGCAAGGTAGTTATCGGTAAACAAGGAAGACACATTTCCTCGTATAACAGCCTTGCTGACCTAACAAACCTTCTCATCAAGGCACTGAAATCTCTCTATTTCCAGACACGTTTCGTATTTTACTCAAGATAGGGCAGGAAGAAAGCCATTAAGCAACGGAGCACTACATGCCCTACAGAAAAGCGCTGCTTCCTAGCAATGACATCGGTACCTCCCGCGTCTCCATGCCTCGTGCTCCAGGCGCGTTTCCAGGCTCTTCCCGGAGCGCAGTCCCTACACCCAACGCAGGCGCTCGGAGCGGCGTTCCCGGGCTCTAACGCGGTTCAGCGCCGAGCGCGGCAGCCGCCGCCTCCCGCCCGGCATCGCCCCCGTACCGCGGGCGGCCCTCAGAGGCTCCCGGCCGCCACAGGGCCCGGCGCGGAGAGGGGCGGGATGGCCCCCCAGAGCCCTGAGCCCCGGCGGCTCAGCCAGCTCCCGGGAAGGCCGAAGCAGGCGGGAGCGGGCGGGCGGCTCTCCAGTTACAGGTGCCGCGTCCAGCGTCGCCAGCCCCGGGGCCACCTCAGGCCGCTGCGACCCGCCCCCGCCACCCCGCCGAGCGCACAGGCCGCCCGCGTCACCCCCCTTACCGAGCAGGGCGGCCGCCGTCAGCAACCCCCGGGCCATGTCGGGGTGCAGGGACGGGGCGCGGCGGGAGCGGGCACGGACCGAGGGCGGGCGCGGGGCGGCGGCGGCGGCTCGGGGCGCTCTGGCGACGGCCCCGGCCGGTCATGTGACCGCTGACGTCAGAGGCGGGGCGTCTGTCACGTGATCCGGCTCGGGGCAGCGCAGCGCCGGCGAGGGAGGCGTGGATCTCGCGAGAGCGGGACCAGCGTGAGGGGAGCGGGTTTGGGGTGCCGGTGTGAGGGGGGAGTGGGTTTGGGGTGCCGGTAACCCCGCTGAGCTCTGTACTGCCTCCAGAATGTGCTTCGTGCCGCTGAATCTAAAGGCAGTCTAAGGTGAATACAGTTGTCTCACACAATTAATTCAGTCCCAGCTGTATAAAAACACTGGAAGTTGATGGTCTGTTGTCTCTGAAGTGTTCTGTCTCTATATACCCAGGTATACATGAGTCACATGTGTTCCAAAACAAAACAGGGACTGCTAATGACGTGTGTTTAGATGGGTAAAAATTGCACTTTCACATAGCTTCAGACGTCTGATGGCTGTTTAGGAATTCCTTTTCTTTTTTTTTTTTTTTGAGAAAACCAGCAACGAAGGTGAAGTTAGCTTGTAAACATTGTCAGCTGTAATGGAGATGGACAGCCCAGGTAACTTGATCACGTTGTAATCCAGTGCTCTCTTTTATGCACACTGTTAGGGGTGTGCTTACTTCATCTGAAACCACAGAAGCTGTATCTTGCTCCTGCAATCCTGTTTCTAGTACGATTGGAATGTGTGCCAAGAGCAGTGCGCCTCTGTTTCTCACACTGCCTGCTGTATAGTCCCTCTCCTCACTGCAGGCTGTTCCAGATTAATCACCTCTGAGGCAGAATGATTTCTGCTCCCAAGCTGCCTTCATACATTTTTACATTGAACCCATTTGAAATGCAATTTTAGCTACTCCCAGCTGCTAAAGTCAAGTTCAGCTGCTGTGAACTTGACCTTTCCTTGCTGTTTGTCTCAGTTCACTCACAGTTCCTGTTTCCACAAAACATCCTGGATAAGTTCAGTTGCTCCTTAGGATGACATGGGAATCTACCTTTCATTTTCAATGCTGTTGCTATAAATACGTATTTATTTTTTAATGCTGCATTTTTATCTGTGCATTTTTAGACATAATAATCTATTAATTTTGTTTGTTTGTTTTTCCCCACAACACTCCTAGCAATCTTTATTCTTTCCATGCATTGCCAAAAGCAGAAGTTAGTTTGAAAGACGACATGATGAGCAGCTCTGGTCAGGTGTTTGAATGACTCATCTGCAGAGGAGTTGAGGGTAATGGAGGTGGGACATGGGCTGTTCTCATTTTGGATCACTGTTTTTGGAACCTGCACTGGGAGTGGAGGAAGGTCTGTGGAACACAAAGTCTGCCACAAGACAAATGGGGAGGGAGGCCCAAGGTCAGGTTTAAACTTGACTTGGTGTGCAGTATTCTGCTTCCCTGCTGGAAAATCAGTAGGCATCTGTGAAGGGGAAAACGACAGATGCTTGGATTGCTAACAAAAAAATGATCACTAAATATACATAAGATGCATAAAGCAACATTACTGTGGTAAAACTTGGTAAATAAAGAACATAAGGTTATCAGCAGAGAATGATGTTGACCTTCCATGCTGCGGATCATTAGCTCACTGGGCCTGTATTAATGGTGCAGAGACAGCTCTGTATCCATTTCCACCTCCTCTCAGTACAAGTACTACCAGGGTGTTTGTGGGACAAAAGCATCAAGTCTTGCACAACTGTGCCGGCCATCAGCCCCACTGCTTGGTAACTTTTTGGCTGACATCAATCAAACATGGTAGCAGGGTAAGACATAAACAAACAAAGTTACAGCTTCTGTAAAAGCTGCTATATACACAGCCTGGAGGTCCAGATTCGTGCTGTCACTGAGGGAAAGGAAATGTAGTCCATGCCCAGCCACTGCACATCTCATCTGACAGAGCTGCTGGCCAGCATGCTCACAGGCCCAGACAGGAACCACGATGCACTCCCTGGCCTTTCTTCAGAGCTGTGGATGCAGAATGGGCTGCTCATGGGAAACACCCAGGAGAGTCAGGAGCCATTACTGCAGTAAAAACTGTCCTGTGAGGTCAAGGCAGAGTACAAACAAGGGAGACAGAGTACAGGCTAGGAGATTTTACAAGGAAAGAATTTCCACAAAACATTACTCCATTTTCCCATAGCCTTTTGCTGAGTATTACCTGATTTCACAGTTAGTTCCTTTCTGAAGAGAAAGCAATGGCTAACCAAGTTCATGGTACAGAGTCCACTCTCCTGAACATACCTGCCAAAGACAGTAAACCTACAAACAGAACGGAACCACTCAGGTTGGAAAAGGCCGACAGCAGGCCAAACGTCACTGAGTTCAACTGGTAACCCAGCAGTGCCCAGCCTACCACTAAACCATGTTCCCAAGAACCATATCTGTAGGTCTTTTAAATACCTGCAGGGATAGTGACTTCATAATTTCCCTGGACAGCTTGATCCAGTGATTAATAACCCTTTCAGTAAAAAAAAAGTTTTCCTTGTATCCAATCTAAACCTTCCATGGCACAGCTTGAGGTCTTTTCCTCTAATCCTGTCACTTGTTACCTGGGAAAAGAGAGCAATCCCCCCCACCTGGCTACAGCCTCCTTTCAGGCAGTTGAAGAGAGCAGTAAGGCTCCCTTCCTGGAGCCTTCTTTTTTCCAGCCTTAACAACTCCAGCTCCGCAAGCTGCTCCTTGTAGGACTTGTGTTCAGACCCTTTCCCAGCTCCACACCCTTCTCTGGACACGCTCCAGCCCCTCAATGTCTTTCTAGCAGTGGGGCCCAGAACTGAGCACAGGATTTGAGGTGTGGCCTCACTGGTGATGAGTACAGGGGGACAATCCCTGCCCTGCTCCTGCTGCCACACTATTGCTGGTACAGGCCAGGACGCCATTGGCCCTCTTGGGCATCTGGGCACACTGTGGCTCATGCTCAGCTGCTGCCACCAGCACCCTCAGGTCATTTCCACTGGGCAGCTTGCCAGCCACTCTGCCCCCCTGCCTGGAGCAGTGCAGAGACAGATCTGCATAACAAATTTAGACATTGAAGTTACCTGAAAGGTGTGTAATTATTTTTTCAAATATGTATAGCACAAAGAAAGGATGAAAAAAGCTGCAGCAGATCAAGAGTTAAATGTTTAACCCAGGTTCAGATAAAGAAATCCAGGGAAAGCTAAAATACAGAACCAAAAAAAAGACCCAAGGAGAGGGCAGAAAGGAGGCTGTTGGCTGGCTAAGGACAACTGTGACTGCCAGGCTTGGGAAGCACCTTTAAGTCAGCCCCCAGCCTACATTCCCACACACACTTTCCCTCAGGAAATGCTGGGCTAGATAACAGCATGTCACATTTAGGAAAATTGCTTTTTAAATGTAGATATGTTTGGATATGCTAGAGCCCCCAGATGCATCCAGGCTCCTGCTGTTATTTTTGTCATTCCATAGAAGCTGCTATACAGTTTGTTCTAAGGACACTGAATTGCCAAGATCCAGGTTTCCCTGACATACCTGAACATAGATGCTCTATAGAGGACATACGTTACTTTGCTACTGCCCAACATCTTCAACAATGGGTGATCTTCCAGGAAGAAACATTTAACAACCTCTGCCCTGTGGGTACAGGTACTCTCAGGCAACGTGACCCCAAAGAACTGACTGATTGAGGCACATTGCTCAGCCAAATTCCATCACCAGCTACTGCAAAGCAATCAAATGGAGCTGTTTCACTATGGAGAAGTGATTTCTATGCTGACTCATAACTGCTTACCTCTTTGGTTTAGCACCTAAAACGTCCCAGTAAGAAAAATTTGAGGAAATCAAATTAAAAATAAGGACCTGAGAAAAGGAGTCACAATTACCTGGCCTGTCAGTTTCTCCCAAAGCTTTTGAACCTCTGAAGCCACTTGCAGATCAGTCTGGAAGAGTAAAAGTCTTCAAGGATCATGCCATTCTCTGTAGGTTCAGTGGGACAAGGGGATGGGTAGAGATGAGCAGCGGGATGAGGGACAAACCCCACTCCCACAAGCAGAAAGGCAGAACCCCTCTGAATACTGCTGCTTCAGGTTATTTGCAGGGGATGATACAGTTGGGTACCAAGGGCATAGAGCACAGAAAGACAGGCTTCATAATTTCCACTGCTGTGGAACAATTAATTTTTAATTGCTAGACCAGAATAACATGACCAAAGAGCCCTTAGTCTGTAACAATTAAGAAAAATTGCACATCTCAGCACTTTTAATTAACATTGCTTCTTGAGGCAGAACCATTTCAGTCATCTTCAGGATAACACCACTGCTTTAAGCTATTGTTTAAAGCTACTGAACCAGAACATTTGGGTTCAGAAGGGGCAGGCAGTACATTCTCACTGCTTCCTAACAGCTACTGCACACTACTACCAGTTCTCAGTGTGGATAAAGCCTCTCTGGCCATTACCTTTCTGTGAGGCACATATTCCTTTTTGGTTTAGAAGTCTGGTAAGATGGATCTGATTGGTTTCCATATACATAAAAAGTGAACCACAAAAGGAATGGTACAACACTAAAAAACCAACCTTAAAAATAAACTGAAGTGCCACATTCTCACAAAGGCTAAGAAATTAATCCTTAATATGCATCAAAGATTTTATTTGCATTAACTGAAGATTCAAATATTAAAATAAGTCTACATTAAATTATAATATTAAATATGCTTTAAATACAACAAACTAAATGTGTTTAGTTTCCAAACACAGAGGAAACAAAAATAATTCAGAATGCAATACAATTAATAACACCAGAGGACAGAATAAGGACTTTTAATATGTAGTTCCATAAACTGTCACCTCATAGCACTGTTTACTTTAAGAAGTGGCCTTTTAATTGATGCACAAACCCCACGATACATAAACTTAGTAAGGTATCTCTCAAGAAAATATTGCTCAGGTAAATTCTCCTTGATGTAGTGATCAAAACTCCTTTGGTAGCTCTTTTTCAGAATTAAACATACCAGTAGACAAATCTGGAAAATAAACAGTCTTGCAAGTATTACCAGAAAAGGTGTCTTCCTTATAGTTACAGTTATCTAACAGATCTACAATGTCTTTCACTCTAATTCAAATCAACTTACATATGTACAATATGTAACAAAGTACTCACAAAGTCCTTAGTCTTTCAAGGCAAAAAGCTATGCTTTCCCAATATTGAGACCATAAAAGGATTTTTTTTAAAAAAAGGTTTTGTTTTCTTAAAGTGGAGCACGCTGTACAGTAGGTTCCCTGGATGTTATTTTCAAGGCAAAACTAAATGTTACAGCAATTACAGAAACAGTGAAATACACCTGCTGCCCTAAAATGAGGTAGGGCCTCGTTGACTCAGATCTCATCTTTGCCACCCAAGCCAGCAGAAGTAGTAATAATAGAACAATTCATATTTTAGCTAAATAATCCAACAGCTCAGTACACACATTAATGCAGTTGTCCTCTTGGCACTTCAAAAATCTCACTTCAAAACCTGATTTATCCAAACCAGACTGAAGTTTGTAGCAACTTGGAAGAAAATTAAACACAAGTTTAAGGGTTTTCATGGTGCAAAACCTCAGTGCATTTCAACAACACTGCTTGTACATACATGTTCATCAATGAAGGGTTTTTAAAAAGTTACCCAAGTTGTAACTGTAGCAAAAGAATGCAGCATTTAGGGACTTTGTGGATGCAGTTAGGAACATCTAAATGAAGAAACCAGACTTGCATCCATGACAGAAGTATTTCTCACGCAGGTGATTTTACCTTTCCATCCAACTTCAATGACATTGTTAAACAAAACTGCAAAACTAAATTTTGAAGAACCCAAAAGAACAAAAAATCAACTAAGGGGAAAAAAAACCCCCAGGGCATTTAAAATTAGTAAGAAGTCTTGACAAAGGTGATCCATTAACATGTCATTTTGTTTCGTTTCCACAGCAGGGCATGCAGCTGCTTGAGTAATATACATCAACCTGAAATCTGCTAAAAGGAAAGTCTGGAACAGCATATGTATTTGGTGTCCTAAAGATATATGTGGATGATTTTGGTTTTTATTTTTTAGGGTTTTTAATTTTTTAAAATAAAACTATTTCTTCTCCTTTATGCAACATAGTGGTACTGATTGGGGTTGTCTTTGTCTCTCTCCATATAGTCTCTGTCAATGAGAGATTCAATTCTCTTTTTCAAGTCTCCAGGCTACAAGAAAAGATGAGATTAGTGTAACAGTTAGTAACACAAAGGCAAACATATTTAAAAAAACACTGCTAAAAGCTACATAAGAAATGCACTAGAGTACACAATTGATATAGTACTGACACTGACTTATTTCTGTTCACACAGTACCTTCATCTTTGGGTTTAATTCTATGATGTTTCATGTTTCTTGCTCTTATAGACAAGATGAATAGAAACATATATTACATGTATTTAGATAAATCTAGGATGGTTTGACAAACAAAAACATGAGTTACCTTTACAGGAAATTTCAGTTGATTATACAATTCAGAAACAAGAAGATTATGACCAAGAGTCTTCCTCATCTTCATTATTCGTACAATAGCAGCATCAATCTGATATTGCCTGTCCTGAAATACTCTTTCAGTTGTGCTGACCTGTTCCTCAACCTAAAGAAGAACACAGCACCACAAATCATATCACCCTCTGTTGCTACTTTTTATTAATTCTATCTCTATAGTTAGCCTTTGCAATAAAATGATGCTCATGCATTCTTCTTTGAGACAGATGCATGCATTACTGCATTCTGAGGGCTAAGTGATGTCTGAAGTGTACTGCTAAAGCAAGTAAGAGAGAAAATTCAGGATAATGTAAATGGAAAAATGTGTCTTATTTTACATTATTTGATAAATAAAAGTAAATCTTAGAAACTCCCTTTTTTAAGAGAACACATAACGCTTTGACAGCCCAAATACAGCAGCGTTTTGTGTCAAACTCCAGTTTGACTTTCAGGGAATTTAACATGCAAAGGCAAAAAAGAAAAAAGCCACTGTTAATTAAAATGTCACCTTGTGTCAAGAATGGAAATTCAGACACAACAAAAAAGGTTTGTTTTCACTGCAGAATCAGGGACAACCCTGACTTATATAGCCTTCTTATCTGCTAAATATAGAAGTGACATGGTGACATTTGATTCATGAGTTCCATACAGTACCAACACTTCACAATACCACAGAAACTTCTAAGATGGACTGAAACATCTACAAGATCCTTTTAGTTTAATATACAGCCATTTAAATTTGCAAGCACAGGAAGCAACCTAACTTGTTTTCAGTTTCAGTGATTTTCAACTCTTTATTGCCCGAGTCATCTTGAATACACTAAAAATTAATTATAATTTGAATTTAAATATTCATTTTTTTATATGCAAAAAATACAAGAGATTATGTCTTTCCATATGGGATATGTAGATAAACAGTTAATACATACACTGAATTAATGTAAAAATTACGTACTGTTTCTTTCATTTGAATCTGGTTGATCTTTATTCTAAACAATTTATGCTTGAAATCACCATTAAAGATGAATTTATCTCCATCTTCTACATCCTTGCCCTTTGGATTTTTAATCAATACTCGTGCTTTTCCACAAGCTAAAGACTGCAAGGTTCTTCTTAATTCACTGTCCTCTGTGAAGGAGTTCAAATATGGGAGAAAGCAGAACAAAACATTAACATCAAGAGTTTATTGGATTAATCTAGAAATCAATTGAAAAGCCAGTGGTTTTATGTTAATAGTTTCTTCCAACTAAGTTCCAATTAAGAAGTAGCTCATAGCCTTCAAACTTGGTCTTGTCTTTCACAGGTTAAATGCTGAGAGCATGCATAGGATTATATATATCAGAAAGACAGATTTAGGCTCATCTCAGTGAGTTTTCCTTCCAAAATAATTTCAGAAAAGATTTCACATTAACACAAACTTAGTTTTATTGCTTTAGTTTTGTGTGGTAGTAACAGGACTTCAGAAAAGAAAAAGTCAGTGTATGACAAGAAACTCAAAGCCACCTATTTCAAGATCTGATCAGTGTTTTTATCACACAGCAAAAAATACATAATAGAATAAAAATACAGGAGTCTAAATTGACAGGAAGAAGTTTTGTGGGAGGGTATAGCTGACAGCTACTATAGTCAAACTTAACCCAAAACAGGGAAGTAATAGACACAAGTGTGTGAGGAAAATTTTATCTAGTAATATTTAAGGCTAAAAGCATTTAGACAAGATAAAATGAAGTCTTAAACATTCTAATTATGTTGCAAAGTCTTGTATCAAGATTTTGCATTGAAATAGCCTCTGCAGTCTCTAAAATACTTTATTCACAGTACAAAATTATCACTGAATGTGTTGGATCTCCTGAACAGAGTTTTAGCCTAAAAACTGAAAGAAAGGTTTTGCAATCTAGTGCTGAAGTACAGCTGAGTAAAAGATTAACACTATTGCTATTTTTAAAATACTTGATCTTTTACACAGAGGCACCCTTTCCTTCTTTTAAACTTCCAACTGTTCTATGATTTCTTAAAAAAAAACCTTTAATCAACGTGGGCTAAACTGGCATTTATGACATTTGAGACATTTTGTGTGTTTCAGCCTCAGTAAATGCAGATTGTTGAGCTGTGTTTTTGTCCAAACACAGGGCTGCTGTTAAAACACTCTGGAGCTTTGCCTGTGAAGTCACAGGTTACAGTGTGCCAAAAGGAAGAAATTTCCAATTATCTATCAGTCTCTGAAGTAGAAGTAAAAACTACAGCTCCTAGAGGCTCCCTTGTCAGGCAAGCAAAAACACAATATATTTGGATAGCACATCTTGAAGAAGCACAGAGAGAAGGTGACCATTCTTTCTCTGAGTAACAGTTTATGCATTTTTTCACTGTCCTAATGTACCAGGGACCATGAAAGAGGCTGATGGTGATTTACTGTAACAGTGATTGGAAAACACAAATTCCAACCATGGCCAGTTAATCCCTACAGGAAAAATGGGGAGGAACTTGTAAATTTACAAGACCATGTAGTGACATGACAAGGAGGGAATGGCTTCAAACTGAACCAGAATAGATTAGGTATTAGAAAGAAATTCTTTATTGTCAGAGTGGCAAGACACTAGAACAGGTTGTCCAGAGAAGTTCTGGATGCTCCTTCCCTGGAAGTGTTCAAGACCAGGCTAGATGGAGCTCTGAGTAACCTGGCTTAATGGAACCTGTCCCTGCCCAGGGCAGGGGGCTGGAACTGGATTATCTTTAAGATCCCTTCTAATCCAAGCCATTCTGTGATTCTATGCTATTCATCCTGGCCTCACAGGAACTCTGTGGAACATGAACTGTCCTTGCCACTTAAATTTCTATACTACTTCTCCAAAGGGGAGAGAAATACAGACATGGCGCTCAGTGCAATGGCACAGAGGTAGCTCCAAACTATCAATTCCAGCCACCTGCCTTAAAAACAGTCTGTTCAATTCCTTATTTTGTGCTATAATGGAATGGATTTCCATGCAGCAGATTTTATCTGTTGCTGTCAGGCAGCCAGAATGCCAGCTCCAAGGGACAGCAATCCGAGATGAGAAAGCAGGACCTGGATCAGGCTTGCATGAACCTGTGTTTGTTCTGTAAACATTGTACTCCAACCTAATGAGCCTCTCCAGACTATCCAGATGGTTATTATCACTGGCATGGATTTTCTTCAGCTCCCTTACCTTAAGGGAGAGGATGACTAAGTAACTTGAAGCAATGAGACAATGGAACACCCAGGCTGTACTTCCTTCTGCAATGCATCACTCTGAACCACAAGGATTGTTGATATCTCCATTTTACAGTCTTTCAGTAAATATATTACAATATTTTAGTACTTTTAAGGGCTCAAATACTCTTTCAGATACTGCTGTATTAGGTTGATCTTAAGTTTCAACATGTGAAGGACTACTGGGTACAAGCTGCTGATTGATCCAAAACTTGCAGAGAGTCATGATAGCAGTGTTTTGCTATAACTATTTTAAGAGAGTATAAGAATTTGGGGAAAAAAACCCATCCAGGAACATAAAAACACAAGACAGATACTGCAGATGGTAAAAAAGAAAACTGTACTCTTCCTCAGCTTCTTTGTCCTTCAGGTTCAAGTGCAGAGGCAGAGAGCTACAGAGTACACACTCAGCACACACTGCTGCTCTGAACAAACCAGACCTGCTGTCAAGGGGCACCCCAGCAACAAGAAAGGGCAACAGGCAGGTGAGCTCTCAGAACAGCTCAACTGCAAATACTCTTAAATCACCCCCAACTGAAAGCATTCTACAACAGATCATTTTCAAAATATAGTATGTGAAACTGAACAGGAGCAAAAACAATCTGTACACACAACAGTCTTTATCCCCACTTATATTTTAAGAATTGCAGATTCTTAAATTGTAAATCTAATAGGTTGTTAGTAGTATTACATGCCACACAGCTCTTACTAATAATTTTCTGAAGGGTCAATTTTACACACCAAGAAAATACACTAAGAAACACCTGCAGTGTGTTCTCCTCATCTCTTTTGGTGTGTGTATGCTATTGACACACGAAGTTTGTCCTAATGATCATGACAAATTTCTTAAAATTAGGCCTTCACATACCAAACCATAATTGCCAATCACTTGATGAATAAATTTAAAAACCAGAAAGTATTCTTCCTACCTACACCAGTAGCCATTTTAATTTCTTCGAAACTGAATTCATCTCCTTCATTAAACATAAGCAATACTAACGTCTGAAAGAGCGATACTTGAAACTCCTTCTTCCCCTAAAAGGGAAAAAACAAATAATAGTAGCATTCTCAGAATTTTCTATTGTACTGCCTACATTTGACAGTTACAGAAAGTATACATTAATTTTCCTATTTCTAGAAGAATGGATATGCATTTTAGAATGCCTGGCACGCAGAAGAGTCTGCTGAATGTAGTATTGAGGAAACAGGATATTTATAAAATCTCCTGGTTTTGCTCCTCTTACAGTAACAATACAATAACACAGCAGAAGCTCGTTAGAATGGCGTGGTATTTACTTCACATCCTTCATTTTAATTACAACATATGACATTTTGGTGTTGCCGCCATCAAGAGTGAATTTGTCCGTAATGAACTCAAATTAATATTCACAATGAGTTAGCAGAAGAATTCAAGGGATTTTCTGTTTTTGCTGTGGCCCACTGAAGCTGCCTATTACAAAGGAAGATACTGCATGAGACAAAACAAAACCACATGAACAAATAGTACAGTTATTTAACAGTTAAATAATTCAACAAGCATTTAAATTTTAACCACAGCCATCACATGACTTACACCCTTCAGTCTCTTTATGTATGTGAAGCATACCAAAAGCATCACCAGGATTTCTACAATCAAAACAATTCCCAATTACAGATAAAAAAATGCTGTGTTCTTATTGTTGTTTTAATTTCTTGCTTTATTACAACTTCATTTATTTGAAGGAGCAACAATTCCTATCAAATTAATATTACCAAAAGGTATCATATTGTTGTCTTGTTAGCTTTCAGTTTAATAATAAAAAGCCTACTTTCTGTACAAAATAACAGTACTGCATTGTGATTGTTCCTAAACAAAAATGTTACTACCTTTATAAAAAAATGCAACACAATACTAGATTCCAAATAACTAACTAAAATTTTAACCTAACAGGCAAAGCAGTATCCAAACAAGCTTACTTCCTTAAATTCTGCCTTTAGGACAGCATGTCCTAAAGTGGTCTGCCACTGAAGTTTTCGACCACTGTGTTTTCCCAGGTAAAAGGTTTTAAATACCTCTTGAAGCTTTATCATCTGTTAAGAAAGGAGAAGAAACACGAGCATTATATCTTGCAGTGACATCAAATGATTTCACATTGTAATTTCTTTCTTCTCCTCAACCATGTTTCAAAATAGGTTCTTTTGTGGGAAAAACTTAACCCAAAGAGCAAAATTTTGCTCTCAAGTACTACTATGCATATAAGAAAGCCTTAATTCAAAAATAACTGCATTTTCCTTGGGTTTTTAATTTCCTTGTTTTGAATAAGAGTAAACTCCCTGTAAAGGGTTTTAAACCCCAAAAGAGATACTGGTTTTGTCCCGGACTTCGAATCTGACCTAGAAGTCATGGGACAAAAAGCATCCATCCTACAGCTTTACACTGGCTAGTACCATCTGCTCTTAAGTTCTTCCTGTAATCTGAGGATGGAATGGAACTCCAGTCCAATGCCACTACTTTATGCCCTCTTACTTCCAAGTAAGGGGGTCCTACTCTTCCATTTTCATGATGTGTTGCTCAGGTTGGATCCTTCAGAAGTAGTCTGCCACAGAGGAAAAGACACCTCAGGAACAAGAGTACAAGAGCCTCCATATCTTTCAAACTGAGTGGGAACCCCATTACCACCTCTGGCCTCTGAAGTGCTTCCCACACCTCCTATCAAACAAGGTATTGAAATAGGGACTCCAAATACACATTTCAACCTAAACTGCTACTGAAAGGAGCTTTGCAAGCATCTCTCAACTTGGAAACAATCATTTTTCAAGCAAATACTGTTTAAATGCAGGGACTAGTTTTGTGTGACACACTGCAGGGAACAGACAAAGGATCTTTGAAAAAAGGAACTTGCAAAAACACAACTATTGACTAGTTCAAAGTGCCTAACCAATGCAGTTAAAGATTGACTAAATTAAGGTGAACTGACCATTGCAAACTTTTCAGTAACTGACTGCAATGCTAAGTAAGGCAATGATATTATTATTATACAGGTAAAAAAACCCCAAAACACACTGAGTGAAATAATCATCTGAAGAAAGTGGACTTTATCCACTACGTTCTATTTTCTGCAATTCTGGAATCCTTAAAATTACATAAACCCCTTAGATATCTAGCAGAAAAACTTTAAATGAAGGGCATTAATGCACACTGTGGTAATGATTTCATTTGGTAAAGTGTATTTAGAAGAAGAATTCAAACACAAACCTCTGAATTTAAGTGGACTTCCATAGGTGTATAAGTTGGCCAATATCCCATAGTCAATATATTTACTGTCAGGTCTATATTTCCTGGGTCACTTTGGTTCTGCATATACTAAAATACAAGAGACAAAAATCATTCAAGTATACTTACTATCTGCATAATTAAAAAATGTATATACTTAAGTTAGAAATTTAGGATTAGTGTAAGTAAAAATTCTTAAGGCCACAGCCTTGGTTAGACATGCTCTACCAGGATTTTGAGTAACTATCTAATGACCATTTCCCCAACTTCAAAACACAGCAAGCAGTTGGGACCGCAAAGAAAAGATCAACATGCCTTGAAATATTCTAGACCTCTGTCTATACAGGGTGCTAAGGTCAAAGAAGCTTTAATCACATGCAAATATGGCCAAAGAAAAGAAGCCATGGCAAGGACTGTAAGATCAAAAGGATCCCCTTGGACTTCTACATCTGTTAGACAAAACTTTTTCATATAATTGGAGTAGACCATCAATCGAGCCAGACTGCAAAATCTGGGACAGAAGAGTCACTACAGTATTTTATTACAGGTGTTGTCCTGGATCAGATCTCTAACCCAACATCCTGACTTTAGTAAGGCCCCAAAACAAGTGCCCAGAGAGAAATGAAACAACAGGGTGAGCATGTACAGTAATTCCTGCAAGCATTCATTAGTCACCAACAAGCTGGAAACTCTGGGGCTGACACATGCATGGTTTCTGTGCACTTAGCAGCCTTCAGGGAGTTTCTCTGGTGTGGTCCATTCACAAAAAATTCATCAGAGCAGCACCAGTTTACAAAATGAGGGGATACATACTTCCAGGGATGTCAGTCAACTAAATTATGTGGTATTTAGACTAATTTATTTTAAACGGAATCAAATAAAATTGTAAAATTATTGCATACAATAAATAAATTCTGTTGTATAAACAGAACATTAAGTAGACACTATTTTTATGACTAGGACCTGCTTAAAAGCTGTTTTGTTTAATTTTAGCTTAATCCAAGGGACAGCACCATTAAAAGCCTCCCCATGACTGTGGGAAATTTAGTATACAAACAAAAGCTAATGTACCTGCTTGAACTGTACCATGACATCTTTGGACAGCTCCATGTCCTTGAACATGCCCTCCAGTTTGCTGGTAAAAGCAGCACCACATTCTGTCACACACAAAAAAAAGTAAAGATCCCACAATTACAGAGAAGCACAGAACAAGCGATAAACATTTAACCTGAGACAGCTGAGTCACATTTACCAGGTTACAGAGCACCCTCAAATAGGTGCCTTTTCAGGATTTTGCTCCACTGTATCCTCTGTAGGTACATTAAATAAACCAGTCTCATACCTAAGAAGTCAGCCTTATAGTTGTTGCTAAGCATAATGAAAGGTCTGAGATATATATACATATATACACACACACACACTTACATCCTCCCTTACTATTTAAGGGCTGAACAGCTATTACATAAAATTTGGCTTGTCACTTCTTAAAAGCACAAGAAAATAGGGATTGCAAATTTGCACGCCTAAAAGTAATACAAATTTAACACATCTGAAGACACCTACCATGTTTAAGCTTTGACAACATGGACTTCTCAGCATCTACTGATGCACTTTTTCCAACCAGCAGCCTTTTGGCTAAGTCTTTTTTATAAAATGCCTCAAACACATCTTTCCCTGTAATGAAATTGAAACAAAAAATAAAATGAAGTGAAATGATACATTCTATCTGCATCACTGCCCTTCAGATTTGTGACACAAGCCTTTCTCATGAAAAGCTGATTAGCAGAACAATATTCACTATGTAGCAGTGAAGAAAAACATGCAGACATTTTGTTCTTTTTAAATTTTAATAATTTTTAACATATTTTGCAAAATGTTTACTTATTTATTTTTGTTCTGCCCCAGGACCTTGAGCTGCCTTGTATTTCCCATTGGATCAGCTACAAAACACACAAAATTACTCTGGGGTCCAGAAAATATTGTCCCTCCTCTGGTCTGATTTATTAAAAGAAAAAGGGAGGAGGGAGGTTTTCTGTGTATTAAAGAATATATTTTAAAACCTAAGGGAAAGAAAAGTCTTAACAGAAGTCTTCTCATATGGTTTGCCAATAGCCTTTTGAAATGAAAGAGTCATACAGATACCCACAAATTTTCACACCTTAAACCCAAACTTCTCCCATATGACAGTGCAAGGTGTTTGCCTTTTAAGAGGAACAAATTTACTGCAACCCAAGGCACTACTTGTGCTGTCGACAGCAGCCCCATGTAACTCCTTGTGAACACCTTCCAATTTAGGCTTCTTATGATAGTCTTCTTCCCTCCCCATCCTGTCCTGATGAAGTTTTGTGAACCAACTGCATCAAGACACTATCAAAAAGGCCAATGCCCAGAAACTACCTACTACTTATCATCTGTTCTTCAAAGGGCTCTTATGTACTAGACAGCTCAAAATAAAATCTATGCTTTTAGCTGAGCACTACAAAAACTATGAAGAGAAAGAGAGTTGGTGAAAGTTTCAGATTAAGAAAAATTATTCTCTTAGGTTGACAAGCTGCCAGTACAACTGTTTTCTCTCACCATCTCCATCTGACAGAAATGCTGCAATTATGATTCAATTATGCAAATGATACTACTTTATGACTTGACTGTTTTCCCATCATATTGTAGTTGTTTGGGATTTTTATGAGGAGAGAACCCCCTAGATCTCAGACAAACTAATACAGAAGTGGGTAATTCCTGCTATTCCACCCCAGCCCAGGATACACATTCCATTTCCCTCAGAGCAGTGACAATGTATTTATATTGGATTAGACCACTGGTTTTTCTAACAGCCAATCTAGGAAAAAAAAAATCCTAACACATTCAAGAGTTTTGCTCAGACAGTGACATATATGAAGGAAATGCATTTCCGAGGCAGTGAAACTGAGCAATAACACTTTTTCCTATCATTTTGAGCCTTCCTCTGCATTTCTTCTTAGCTATGATGAGAAAAGAGAAGTCAAAAAAAGTTGCTGGGTTTTCATGCTTTGTACCTACAACACACGTAAGTGAACAGGAAAGCCTGTACTGTCATTAGAGGAGAAGTTGTGGTTAGAGCCATAGTTAATTTGTGTTAAAAAACTTCCAGCAACACCTCTAACTCTCAGGTCTCCACTCACAAGACTCTGGAAGGTCTGTAACTTGCCAATCTCCACAGAACTATTTGTCCTCCCCTGTATATTTATTGTGCTCCTTCAAGAGAAAGGCAACCTGAATTAAAGACTGAGTTAAACAGAAATTCATGCTGAAAAAGAGTTGCACTCAGAGGAAAGCAGCCCTGGTAATAGCAAAGGGAACAGTTTTAATTGCATCAACAGTGAACTGCTATTGCTTACCATGAATGAATCTAAATATGATCATTATTTTGTCAAGGATTCTTTCCAGCTCTTCATCTGTTGCTTCTTTATTGCCAGCTCTTAACTTGGAATCCACATATTTTGCTACAAATAAATAAAATTATGTAACAGCTTAAAAAATAGATCTGAAATAACCAACTTAAGCATTTCCTGCTTGACATATTACTATGTGTCAAGTACTACTATATGTTAAAACATAGGATAAGCACTACGTTTTCTATTTTCCCTTTTCCCATCCCTATGCTCAGTGGAATGACAGAGCCCTACTGTATTACTGGAATATTACTGGAGCCCTAGTATATACAATGGAAAAGTACTGCAAAAAGGAATAGTCCAAGGCAAAAAATGAATACAGGATAATAATTCAAATTAATACATTAGAAATTCCCACATTTTGTGTCATACAAGCACATTACTTGTTGAAAGACAATGTTTTGGAAGTGTACAATGTATATGAATGTATTTTATGAGAAACAGAAACAAACAACATAAAGAGGACTAGATTTTTACCATGTCCCTCATGCTCCTTGGTAGGAGCATATTAACATTGTAACAGAAGCAATGCTTTCCAGTTAGTAGTTTCACAATGCCAGAAGTAAGGTTAAGCCTTGAATTTAGCTAAGTATTTATTAAGCCACATTAGTATCCTTATACAACCTTCTGTGAAAGAAGAAAACCTTTGTGGAAGCTGGAACACCATGATCCACAAATGACAACAGCCCATATCATGGCTTTAACCTGTATCACTGTGTTGTGCAATCTGTCCTACATAAAGCTGATTTTAGAAGGAAGACACAAAATCAGCCAAATAAAGGCAAAACAAAGTACAGAGGAAAAACAAACAACCAAGGAGCAGGATCCTCTCCTGGTGCAAAATGCCACAGCTCCTGTTTCTCAGCAGGCAAAACTGTCAGGATAGCTTTTGCCCAATCAGGGATAAACTAAATAGTATTTTTAAAGTATTTGTTATTATCTTTCCCCTTAATAAGCACAAGTTCTCCTGTCAAGGTAGTGGGTTTTTTCCCAGTATTAAAACTCCTTTTATCTGAAGGCTTTAAAATTGCTATCCCAAATTCAGCCTTCAAGGCAGATGGATGGGCTGTGCTTACTTCTTTCTGAGAGATCCAGAACATCCCCAAAACTCCTCTACTACCACAATTAAATCCAGTTCCCCTTTCCTTGCCACAGCTGCTCTTCCCCCTGACCAGTTACTCCCGTGGCAGCCCCAGTGAGCAGGTGTTAGCCCTGTGCAAGCAGCAGAGTGCAGGGACAGCAGGTGACATGCCCCACCAGGCCCCCCTGACACACACCCCAGCTCTGGGGCCCACCACACACCCGGGTTTCACATCTGCCTCGTGTCCCAAAACAGCTCTCCTAAAGCACAGTGCGACTGCACCACTATTGCACTAGCACACTCAGCAGCATTATCATGCTTTCTATAGATTTTTGAAATATTTTACAGAAAAATATTTGTGTACCTATCAATTCTGCAGGCTTATTTGGTCTCTTGTTGATAAATGTTTCAAAGGACTCCTTCATCAAGTTTACAAATTTTTCATTTTTCTGAAAGCACACTTCTATGATATGGTCCACTTTATCCTTAAAATCTAGTAGCTCTTGCACCATATCCTTGTCTTTTTCAGGATTAACCACTATTGTTGTCCCAAAGTTCTGTAAAACAAATACTTTTGATAGTAAAATACTTTAGAGTGCTACCTATCTCCCCCAACAGACACATTTACCCTTATAAAAATTATCATTAGAAAAAGGAATTTTTTTACAGAACTGTTTATGACTTCAGGTTTTAAAAAAATGAGATGCATTGAAATTTAAAATAAAAACTAGACACACATTAATGGATTTCAAACATTAGTGCTTGATTGAAATATTATTTACATTTAAGACAAAAGTAAAAAAATATACAGTAGACATGACCATGATGTGCAAGTTCACAGTGAGATACAGATCTATGATTCATGTAAAATAAATTAAATGGAAACTGCCTCAGAAATGTCAAGTATAAAGGAAAATGTTGCACTATTTTTCTTAAACCCACTACAGAGTTTAACTGATTAAACAGGTAGCAAAAATTTAACTGCTGCTCAGCCCTCAAAGATTTCTTTTTCATCAAGGGCTCTAAACCAAAATGATCCTTGCTGACTTGCAGGGAAACAAAACTTTCTCAGGCACAAGAAGCAGCCACAGACCTGACTTTCTCTTCCCATTCCTACATTTATTATCTCAGAGACAGAACACCATTGTCTAATGAATATCTAAAATACCCTGTGAAGGAGGATTTTCACCTCTGGACAATTAACATTTGCTTTATCAGTGCCCTGGACTGAATGATCAGTTTTCCAAGGTGAGACTGAGGACACAGCACAAGCAAAAACCAAAACAGTAATCAATGTGTATATTTTTGCCAACTGAAGTATGTTAGCCAACAACAGTAAAAGAGATGGGGGAAGTCCCTCTCCAGCCTCAGAATTTCCATTGCATTATCTAATTTAGCCACTGTCATCTTTCATGGACATCTCCCTCAAGTACCATTTCAGAGTAAAGCTGAACACAAGGCTCCCAAGGTCCTTAGAATCAACATGTGTATCACAGAATCACAGAACAGTTTGGGCTGGAAGAGACCTCTGATGGTCACCTAGTCCATCAGATCTTCAACTTGGCACAATTTGCCCTTCATTAGCATTTGGGCATCTCACAGTCTCTATCAGGTACATTCACAAATTGCAAGGCTTTCCCCCCCATTCTGAAACAGCAAACCTAGATGCAAAAAGCCAAATGGCATCTCTGAATTGACAAAAGGATGACTACAGTGGAACACAGACCCTTACCACAGTAAATTGGCTCACAAGACAAACATTAGAAGTTCTTGAAGCCTCTCTTCACTGTCACACAATGTTTGGAAGGAGATTTACTGACACTACAGAAAAGGTATTCTAGGCTTTTGAGTAGGTACACAACCATCTTAAAGCTGTAAGAGGTCTGATTCTGTGAAACACAGGGTATGATAATCCAATTTAACAACTCGCTGTTGTGAGAGGAGAGATTCCTTTCCTTGTTTTCCACCCATCTTGAACTCCTACTTCTTTCCTTGGACCAGCACATGGACTTGACTGTGAGTCTCTTTAGCTCACTAAACCTGGGATTAAACTGACCTTGCCCAGGTATTGTGATAAAACAGATAACAGGAGAGCCTATGTAGTGGCAGGCAGCACTAGGATTAAGTGATGAGCATGACCTGGGAGAAAGAGGATCCTCCTCAGCCACAGCACCACCATTCAACTGGGCAACACCCTAAGGAGTAAACTCCTCCTCCGTTCTGGGAGCAAAGGGAAGTCATGTTCCACTCCCATGAGCTGCAGCACTGGGGGATCATGCTGAACTCCACTCCAGACACAGGTGTGCAGAAAAGGCACCTCTGGAATTAACTGATCTTGTGCACTTAATCCTGAAGGTTGATGAACACATGGGCAATTCAGGGGAGAGCCCTGACATCAGGAATTATCAACTCCAGGGAGAAAAATCTTCTGTGATGCTTTCCTGCCTTCACTTTGCAAGAGCACTAGAGTGCAAGCTCTCTGGGACAGCATACTATATAGATATTATGCCTAACAAACCAACCCAAAACATTTAAATACAACTGATGGTTTTTTTCAATAGGAGCATTCCCTTCCCAACAGCTTTAAAACCATCAGCATTGTTGTAGGTTGGTTACAAGTAGCACTGCCTAAGCTGCAGACGAATAACAGGTTTTGCAGGTATGTAAACACTTGAGTGTATTTGCAGCAAAACAACACATATTAAAGTCTAAACACATGTGCATGTGGTTCTATTTAAAAGCAATGCAATGAAAGCCATCCTGTATAATGTTCAAACCTATAGGGAAATCAATTTTCAAGTAGAAATTTAAAACTAAAGCAGGTGCTGCTGTTTCTTATCATGTGATTGTTACTGAGGCAGAAGCATTAACATTCCTCCCCATATTTACTTAAAATAGAAGTTTGGTGATACACCTATCTATTATTCTTGGCTTTGACAGAAGAAAATTGTAACAACATAGATTTTCACATTAGTAATAGATCTTTGAAATACCTTGATGTATTCACTCCAATGCTGCAAAAGGATCTGCTGCCCACCTTTTACCCGGCTGAACAGCTGGTATGTCTGGGTCAAATCTGATATTCTATTTTCATCGAGCAGGCTATCAAGTCCTAAAAAATTAAATTAGAAAAAAAAGGGAATTTGAATACAGTTACATAAATACAGTTAGAAATATATTAGAGACTATATCTATTAGAGAATATACTCGTATTTCAACTGAAATACTTTCCCAACAAGGTGATGATCGTGAGCCTTTTGCAGAATGATTATGAAGAGAGCTTCATAACCTTCAAGGGTATCATTTCATCAAGAACCACTAAAGAAAACAGAAAACTAAATAAACCACTCTAAAATTAAAAGTAATGATAAATACTTCACGAGATTTTTTCCTGTGGAGCATGGTGAGCCATGTTTTTAGATTAAGAAGGTGCTGGGAACAATCTACACTCCTACCAATGGAATAACACAAGATTACAAATTCCTTTCAACCAGCTTTTGCTTTGTTGATTCACCCTACATGAGGCTAAGCTTTGGGCTAACAAATGGAGAAGTGAAGGCCAAAGAATGTAACAAGCAAATAACTTCATACGCATTTTTCCATTTGAGAGTATGGCAAATGCAGTTCCCGTGTAATCAGAAGTACTTTGGTGCCAGTTACAGAGGCTTTAGTAATACCAAAGCACAGCATCAAAGACTTATGACATTTTTTTAAGAAGTAAAAAGCTTGATTTTACACAGGCTGACAATTCACACCATCAGTGTAGCTGACACTACAACTGTCCTACTTCACCAAATTATTTCATTAATACTAATTTTTAAATTACATTAAAAATTGATTTGCAAATCACTACCAAATTATCTCATATTCTACTATATTCTTCAGCTTAAAAATACTTTCACTGTATATTGTAACTTACATGTTCAGAAAGGCAAGCAATGTTCAAGAATGATGCCAGGTAAACTTTTGTCTGCTGTTTTGAGATTTCCTAAACTTCTGAGATATCAGAAGAATAGACATACTTTAAATGCAAGACAAGAGACTACACATAGTCCTTAATACAGGGTTTTAGTGCTCTCTTTTCATTGAAAGTGGAATTAAAATCCTGGAAAACAAAGAGTCATAAAAAGGCTTGGATTGGAAGATCATCTTGTTCCAATTCCCAGCTGTTGGCAGGAACACCTTCCACCAGACCAGGTTGCTACTAACATCTCCTCCCTACCTGGCCTTGAACACTTCCAGGGATGGGGCATCCACAGCTTCTCTGGGCAACATATTCCAGTGACTCACAATCCTCATATCAGAGAATTTCTTCCAAACATCTCATCTTAGATCTCTCATCTTTTAGTTAAAACCATTGTCCCTCACCTACCACTATCTGCCTCCTCTTTTTTACAAGCCCTCTTTTAAGTACTGGAAGGTCACTTTGAGGTCTCCCGGGAGCCTTCTCTTTTCCATGCTGTATAACCCCAGCTGTCTTAATTAAGAAAAGCCCATCCCATTACCTCCTATTCAGTTAAAGACACCAGAATATTATCTGATTTATTATAACTTAGATCACAAAATACAGCCTTCCCTCTTTCTCTAACTTGAGCTGTGTGACTGAAAAAAATATTTAGTCACAAATTTGACAAATGAAAAGGACGTGCAGCAAAGTCCTTTGATAAAAGGTTTCACAGAGCTTCCAGAAAGCACTGCCATAGCCTTGGGAATATCTACTGTACTCATAAAAAAACCCCCACCACTAGGTCTGACCCCAAATATCTAGTCAACAGCAGTTATTTACTAATGTAAGGAAAAAAAGGTTCCTTATACAGACCCTGCATTTTTAAGCTTTTTTTCTCCTGTATCAAACTGACTACTTCACATTCCTTGACTTAATGAAGAAAACCTACAAAAGGCAGCATCATCTTCTACTTGAACAGAGTACTAAGATGCCATAAGCAAATTAAAATGTGTCTCAGATCAAATGAATACAGAAAACTAAGCATGTCAAGTGATGATAGAAGCTTTTTTAACTACTTTTTCCAATAGAGACACAGAATGCAAAACCTGACCCAACAATACTGGAGTCCTGAAGCACAGTAACCAGAGAGCTAGAAAAATGTAAAAGTCTCTCTGTATTAATATGGATGGCTCATACACATTGTAAACCAAGAAAAAGTTGAGTTTAAAACAAGACCACCCACTTCCTGTTTAAGCCACTTGATAAACAAGCATATCACTGGAAAAGTTACTTAATCATACTTGAATTAAAGAGCAAGTAAAATTGACACATATCAGCAAAATATAATTATTCTTACCATTTGTTTGTAAGTTTAACAACAGCTAAGATGAAGTGACCAAGCTTATTTCTATTAATGTATTGAAAACAGTGAAACAAGCTATTCCCAGGGTAGCTGAGATAAAACTGAGCGTAAGTCATCTTTAAAAGGGACAAAAAAAGACATAGAAAGGGTATGTATAATATGAAAGTGTTAAACATGGGTGTGAGGGAGCTTGAAGACACCAGACTACCAGGGACATCTGTTCTGCAACATAAAACCACAGATGTAAGGACAATTTTCTAGAAGATCTAAAACCTAAAATACAGCTACTGCAAGAGAAGGAAAAGATCATTTAAAGTATTCAAAGATCAGGGACTACTGAAGAAACCCCGAAATTCAGTGAAAAAGGAGAGATTAAAATTTAAGAGGAACAAAGAAATGGCAGTTTGAACACACTAATATATGATGAATAAGGACCTCCTAAGAAGGCTGCAGTTCTTATCTGAAATTGCCAGACAAAAGGTAAGGTACAGACAAAGGCATATGAAAGCTCATGGCCTCGAATGCTGCCAGTTCCAGTAACCCACAATTCTTAAACTACAGAGTCACCAGAATATGTGAAACTGTTGCACTTCAGCTGTGTGATTATCACATAAAAGAAGCTACAACAGTAACTGCAGCTCTCATTTGGAAGTTTATGTAATTCTAGGAAAGAAGCAGTTCCAAAGGTTTAATTCCTATGCCCACTGCTGCAAGTTAAAGGAGATTTAGAGGCTTAGCAGCCTTTACAAACATGGAATTAGATTTTAGACATTTCTTTCCAAATATACCATTTACTTGTCACTGTGAGGGTAACAATCAATCACAGGATTGGCTTTCTGTGTCTCTGGAAGTTTTTCCCATACCAATTACCATACTAATATACCTCCTAAAGTAAAAGCTATGGAATTTACAGGTAATGCACAGTATGAGACTCCACTGCTAATTAAAGATTACAATTATTAAAAAAATACCTTTTTGCAAAATAGCTGCTAAGTGCTCTCCTAGTAGCTGCTTCTCCACACAAGCAATCAGTGGTTTCCTGAATAATACAAGAAAAAAAAATGTTAGAAGCATTAGAGTATAAAGGAATTGCCTTCTGTCAAAAAGTATTTGTGCATAACTTGCACAAATAATATAATGCAAAAAACACCAACCATTTTCTACTTAGAGGTTACAAAAATCATCACGTGATATGAGACAATAAACTGTGTATGTAATTTAAAAATAAAAATAAATTTATAAAAGGAAATTCCTTACACAGTAGAAGTGAGAAGTTTACATTGTAAAAGACAATACAAAAGCATAACTGGAAAAAAGTCACTGAATTCTGGAAACAAACAATCAAGCAAACCAAAAAACTCTAAGGGTTTGAACTTCAAACCAAAACAATACATACTAGTTATGCTAAAAATTCAACTAATTGTAAAATTTTCAGCTAATTGTGTTACACATGCACACAACCATCAATTGAGCAAGAGGCACAAGACACAAATTTGCAAAAACTTTTAAATTTGTCTTTGAATACCCCCTACTTTTTATGTTTGTACATTAATTTTAGACAGGACAGAAAAATGGGAAGTTTTCCCTTACATCTTTCATCACCTAAAAGATAAAATAAATGACTGAAGTGCAAAGGCACTTCCTTAATTCCAATATTTAAACTTCTACCCTGCTTACAATGGAACAACCTAAGACCAACCATTTCTTTATGGGTTAAGTATTATACAACTGGTTCTCAGAACCTTAATTGGGATTTCCTGGAAGAGAAGTGCTCAACTTGGATTGATGGCAGCCTTTCCTAGGAAGACACACTTTTGCTGAAACACAAGTGTGCCTTTGCTAGCACACTCTCTTTCCTGAAACAGCCCATCAGTGACATGCCTGACCTCCCATACAACACACCAGTTTAGGTCCTTCATTTGGAAAGGGTCAGAGAAGGAAGCAGGAATGATCAAAACAGCAGCTACAAGAGATAACTTGTCTAGACCCTTCTTTCTGGGAAGCAGATGACTTAGGGATACCATTAACAGGCAGGAAAGGGGTGAAGGGAACTGACTGATTCCTTTTCTTTTCACTGCATGAACTGGGGTCATCAGAGATGATGTACTGGGTACCAGACTTAAAAGGAGGCAGTTCATCACCTGTGGAACCGTGGCATTCGCCAAAGCCTGGCACAGACAGAAAAGCTGATGTGAATCCCTTTGAGAGACTGCAAATATTTCTGAGATACACAAAGCCCAGCAGGTTCACAAAATACACTGAGCTGAAAACAGGCAGACACCAGGAGAGTATCAGGGCATCACATCTGATCCCTGCAGTGGTCATAAGTGAACATGAAATGCTGTTTAAACAGACCCCTGTTTTTAACACACATGGCCATTTTTATGGTACTTCCCATATCCCCTGCCATTTCCAATTACTGCTGTCTGCAGCTGCTGGCTGTTTCCAACAGCAGGAGTCAGGGTTGTGTGAAATACCATCCCCTGCCCTGGAAGACCTATTCTGAGTACAGGGGAAGGGACAATTTGTCTGCTTGAGGCTAAGCACCACATCCTAGCAAGCAAAGAAAATGAGTATTTATCTTGGCAAAGGAAGGAGCCAGAAGGTACCTTCTGTATGACCTCAAAGCCATGTACCTTGGTCACCTACTGACTGACAAGCAGACACACTTAATCTGGTCAGCTGTCCAGAGCAGCACGTACAGCCGGGTTGAAACACAGCTGTGGGCTGCAACAACACACTTGTGTTGTCCCAGGTGTTGTCTGAAGTATTTGGCATAGTGTTTCACATGATGCTTTTGTCCTGGAAGTATCATTTCCATCTCAAGATCAAGCCAGTTGCAAATAAATAGCACATCCTTTCTGCTGTTTTCATGCACACACAGAGAAACAGTATGACCCCAGGAACACTCAAGTGCTCCAATTTTAACAGCTGCTGTTTCTTAATACAAGGGAAGAAAATTAGTGTGAACCCTTCAAAAAGTAGGTTTCTAAGCCTTTAACTAAGGACGAGATTCAATGGGAGTGCTTGATGTCCATCTAGACTGAAAATGTAATGGTATCAATCTATTTTTTAGCCTGAACAGTAAATAAATACATGTATTTGCTATATAAGCAAAAATAGTTCCATATATTTCAATATGAGCGATTTCACCAGAAAAAGCGAGTCACCCTGCAATCAGCATTTACAGAAAGATCCAAGTTCAAGTATGTGCCATGACACACAACACACACATGTGTATATCTATACATCTATATATAAATACACAAAAATACATCTATATATATAAAATGTCTGAAGAAAAGAGTAAGTTAAAAAGATAATTGTTATTCAGTTATCCTTTTTGACATGCCAATAAATCCTCCAGAAGACTAAAACCCAATAAATTTAATGTCACATTCTTAACTAAAGAAAAAAGCAACAATTTACTACAGGACAAACTCTATATGGATTTATGTAGTGTCAGTTCCTGCAGGAATGTGTTAATCCAACAAAACACAAACTATTACTTAAAATCCAAGTGAAAAAAGGACAAGCTACCTCACACAGTACAGTGACAACAGCTGATGTACTGTTAAGCTACACTTTGGACTGTTTACAAATGATACTCATGTCCTCTGCCTTTCTGGGTTTATTCAGATTTTGTATGGGTTTTTGTTTGTTTGTGGTTTTGCTGTTTTGGTTGGGTCTTTTCTAATAAGTCTTTCCTTCCCTCAGGAGATTTGTGGCTAAAGATGTTATCAGTACAAGAATGGCTAAAATCGGCTGCTATTTTGAAAATGGAAATTTGAGGTCTTATACAATGTTTTCTAACTGCAGTATACAGAAATCAATATTTCCGAACAAATTTCTTCTTTCTTACTGAAAATATACTTTTGTTTTAAGGAAGTAACTTGATAAAACTGAAGTCTTTAAAAAAACAACCTATTTCACAAGCATTCTCAACAAGATAGTATCTGTAAGACAATGAAGACATTATCTCAGTCTCTACAACCACAGATAATCATACTGATTTATGAAGATAGCTTGACTTACAGTAAAGATGATAAAATTTGTACTCACTGTGTGCTGTGATCTAAATATGTTATTACTCTGTCTCCTTCTTCTTCCAAACGCTTACTAACATGGTGAAGATATTCTGGGACCTAACAAGACAAGACAATGACAAGACAATTCAACTATAAAGATACGAAAGACGGCTAATCTTGTTGCACAACAATTAAACTACATTTTTAAAAGAGTACATGAATTGGAAAGGACTATTCCACCAGAATGTTATGTACTACATAACCTGTATTTTCATTAATCAATGTTACTTCATACTAAAAGTACTATAGTTGATAATGTGACTTTAGCTACAAAAATGTCACTGTGTTACTACACAGTTGTATCCATCAAATTCCATTTCAACCTGGGGTCTGCTCCCCCTTTTGATACAATACCATGGTCCATATCAACACACACATGTTTTGAATACCTGTGTGCCAGTAAATTTCACTGGACAGTAATACACCATGGCACTACCAAAGTTCTTATGTAACCCCAGAGTTGTTAAAACTAACAAAAGCAATCATCTACCACATGCACCTACCTCTCTTTCCTGCATTAATCTTTGGCCTTCTGCAGCATATAAACAATTTGTCTCTTCCAGAAACCTCTGTTCAAATGACTCCTTGTAAACCTGGCTCGAGAAATGAATTTAGTTACTTACATTAAGCTCACAATAAAAGTATCACATTTTGTTTGTCAGGTGTAAGAGGGCAAGTAAAATTTTAAGGACGCTCACACGTGTGAGAAAAGTCAATGTAACATAGTATTAACAAATTCTCTGTTTGTCCACTGGTTTCAGAAAGACTGAGATCAGAACTGACTTCCCAGACTAGCAACAATTTGTTTCAGTCATCAGTACCTGAACAGCCTAAATTCACAGCAATGACATCCAATCCACCCGAGATCTAAACTCCCACTCATACTTCTGTGGCAAAAAAAACCCCTCCAACTAGCACAAACCAGGTAATTCTCATCAGTAAAATATTAATATGCTGAGTAACACATCTTCAGATCTGCCAGGTTTCAATGGCCCAGGAAAAATTAATTCTATCAAATAAGGTGAACTTCTTCTACAGGGAACAAGTAAGGTGTGCAAAAAGGGCACCAATAACAATCACAGACATTAAAAAATCTCTGCATAATGACTAACAGTTTATTATAGAAAGGAAATAAGTCAGAACTACATAAAGAAAAAGTTATAACAGTCTGAGGAACTAGGGATTAATATGTAAACAGAGGGACAGTGAAAAGAAAAAGTGAAAATTCCTTGAGTGTGGTGGAAGAATAGGAGAAAGTATTTTTTCCAAAACATATACCAGAGCTGTAAAACTCATTACATTCTGACCACTTTTTGTCTCTTAAGGACTCCTACTTGAAGGTTCCCTGCCCAATGCTAGGGGGTTGGATGTAGATGATCTTCAAGGCCCCTTCCAATCCAAACCATTCTACCACTTTCAAAACTTCAATTTTTTTTCAATAGCTTCTCTCTCAGACTAATTTTTCTGGGATGACAGAGGAAGCTACATATTAAAGTCAAGAGGATTAACATGAAAGGCAGAACACCAGGTAAGATGCCTAACCAGAAAGAGATTTTTTTTATGTAGTCTGCCTCTTCAAACTCCTTCAAACCTTGCCAGTTTTGTAATGCTGTATTGCCACTTTGAAATGCAGCAACCTCAGGTTTTAGGAATGAAGGATAGCTCCTAAGTTTCACTGCAGATCACACAAGGCTGCAACTTCAACTCAAGGACAACCTATGTGGAAGCCAGAAGCACAGCATTTGTCAGCCTCCTTGGTTACTTTCTATCTCTGCTTATGGAAAGTTCCAGTAAGTTGCAGCTTGACATGATCTATCTGAAAACCTTGGCCTTAATATGGCATCCCATTCTATCCTCAGCATTTCTAAGAAGTTGCCAGTAGAGTGATGTTTTTGTGATATAGAACCAAGATCTGGACTCTAAAAAGTGACACCTTTTTACAGTGACACCTTTTTACAGAGAGGGATTTTTCTGTTCCTACATTTAGCTGGCACTAGGATGAGACAGTAAGTGATTAAAACAGACAAAATACTGCACACACTAGAAGACCTGTAAATCTATTAAGATCTGAGGCCATTACCTCTGCTAAGGAAAACAGGCAAAGAGGTCTCATTTAAAAACACATGATTGCACATGGTAAAGAAGAGGCAATCATACCAATGTAACAGCTAGATTTTACACACATTTACTAGGTGAACAGAATAATTTTTGTACAAAACACAACTCAGGCAATCCACACTGTGTTTCAAAACAAAGCTGTTACTAGTGAATGTGGCTGCACTCACCTGCAGATCCGAGAGCATGCTCAACAAACTCCGTAGCAAACTTCTGTCCACAGCTTCACCACTTCGTTCTCGTTCGATCAGCAGGAGAATTCCATCAATAGTCTTGGTCTGAACTTGCTTGTCACTAATGATATGGTTTCTAAACAACTCTAGCCCCATATCCCTATGTGAATATTGGAAATTAGTCACACTATTGATGCTTTTGAAAAATCATACATATGTTTAAAATACATACAGTGTGTATCTATATCATACAGCAAAAGAATATATTAATGGTGTGTGTACTCTTTTTGACACCATCCTCTAATAAAACTGTACCAAGAATTATCCTAAAAAGACCAGATCACATGCTACCACAGGCATACAATTCAGTGGAGAACTGTTACCAGCCTGTCCAACTTTCACATAATAGACTGTAAGTTTCTTTGTTCATTAAAAAAAACCAAACCTGATCATATACCTTAAAATAAAATTCCCTGCATCAGACATTCTACAATTAATATGTAAATTTTATTCAAAGCATTAATTTCTTGGTATCTTTAGGATCTTATCATCTCTATTGGATTCTTGTTTCATTCTAAGATGATAAGGCATGGTGCCTCTATGCCATGAAGCAGCTAAATGTTAAATATTGCAAACTGAGCAATCCTAGATAGAACATGTTACCTCTGACTTCTTCACATGCATCAGGATTTCAATAAAAGCAATTTTCCCAGTGGGAGAAAAATAATACCACGTATGAACAGACCTAATCATCAATGTTTAGTAAAAAGAAGCCTAACACAAAGAGTTGGAGGAAAACTGCTGAAACTGGGAACAAAAGAAGTGCACTGGACAAGCAAGAGGCTGGAGAAAGATGCCAAGCTCTTCAGACAGCCTGAGGAACTCACAAGAGCACAGCAGCCAGCCAGGCAGGGAAAAGACATGCTCTTACTTCAGTACTTTATCTACTTTTTTTTTTTTTTTTTTTTTTTTTTTTTTTTGTGGGGAAGGCGCTTCAGATAAAGTAGTAACAGTACAAGAAATTTTTGGCAAAGCCTGGGTTTGTTTGCTTGGGCAATGATGTAAAATGCCCCCCAGGGGGGGATGCTTTAAAGCAGAATGCCCAAAGATGTGACCGTGGTGAGCTGAAAGTACAAAAGCATCATCAAGTGACCAGAGCTGGAAAGATAATCTGCACCTTGTCACTGTATCTGACTTACTTAAAAAAAAAAGAGCAAGAAGCTGAATGCTGAATTTTGTCAAAACCAGGAGCAGCTACAGTAATGCTGAGCAGTGCAAAGGTGGGAAGCAGCAGTCAAGGGGAGGTTCCACAGACCCAGCCTCACCCAGGCTCTGACAACAACAGCTGCACATAAGCCTTGAATCTGAAGCCCCTGTTCACAGACCTTCCTCTTTCACCCCCCTTGACAGTGAATGTTCCTGGGAAAGGAGAACATGACACACGCATATGCTGATACATGCATCTCCGTAAACTGAAACAAAATTTTAGAGATCTATTATGTAACTCAAATATAATGTAAAAAATTTATTTTCAATCTTTGCAAATGTAATAGCACATCAACACTCTAAAGATTATAGGAATACTTACATGGATACCTACCATATAGAAGGAAGCACTGAATTCTGAAGCACATATGTACGATCCAAAAATAAGAAAATGCTTCTGATCATGATCTGAAATATATAAAGAAAATAGTTTTCTCTTCACCTCCATGTGGTATTTTAAATTATAAAACTTCTGAAAACCTACATCACAAACACACACCCCATTTACTGATGTAGGTATTTTAAACTTTTACGGTGACTTGAACAGCCATGGGTATGCAATCTATTGAAGCTAATACTATTACTTGGCAGTATTTCCAAGTACATCCAAGACAGTTCTCAAATTCATAAACATTAAATAAATAGTTTTATTACCTTGTTAGAAGTTTTATACCACTGATATACAAAGCTATTCAAACAGTACCTCAAATACAGTCAGTAAACACCCTGAAATAGCATGCTTCTTGCTTTAAAATAAAAAAAAAAAAATCAAACAAAAAAAACAAAGATTTAAACTAAGACAGTAATAAGCTGTGCAACAGATCTTTTCATTGTAAAAGTTAGCTGTCAAAATTGTAAGAAAAATAGAGATACATTAAATCCAGCAGTTAAAAGAAGATAAAAATATATAATCTCTTTTTTAAATTAAAGAAGTGGGAGGAGGAGGTGATTTTGTAGCTTACTAGACTTTTACATTCAAAATTCATTTTTAACTTTGCTCATAAGAAGGCTGCCCAACTCCCAGTTTAGCATTAGTGTAACTCCGGATGTCAGTAACTCCCCCCAGGCCAGATGGAGATTTCTATTCCCAGCTGTCCACCTACTCCTTTCCCAAAAGACTTCACTGCCTCTGAAGCAACGCTCAAGCAGATATAGCTACTGGCCAAGCATATTAAAGTAACCAGCAGTAAGGCTGATTTTTTTTTTCTTAAATAGCACAAGTGCTAACCCAGCACATGGGCAAGAAAGCCACTTGCTACAGGTTGTTGCTTTAAGGAAGAAAAAAAGAATGCTTAGAAGTAATTAAAGCAAACTGTTCACAGCACAAGCCCTTTCACGAAAACACAGGTTCATGCTAACTACATTTTCAAGGCAGTATCTCCAACTCTGTTTTCATGAGACCTCTAAATTCAAATAGTTTCCCTAACACCTTCCATTTTTAATTTAAATAAAAATCATATACCTCTGCCCAAACCTCCCAGGAAAGGAAAGAACAGTGGATTCAAGGAATGCAAATAGAAATTCAACCATATGGGGCATTTGCAGCCAAAGCTAAGTAAGTGCAATAAAAACTCATTGTAAAATGTTAGTTTGGAATTATAATTACGCCTTCTTAAAGGCACAGTTTTCATAGAGTGTGCTTCAGAGAGGACTTTTTTCTGTAACATAAATCATTGTGGAGGTAGAAGACAAAAAAGGCAGATAGAAAGCAAGTTTCAGTTCTTTATCTTTTCCGTTTCTTAGCTCTGTAGTCAGGATATTAATCTCTGCTTTGAAAAGTCAACCTAGTTATGGGAGCTACCTAAAAGCAAAGACTCTCCAATTACTTATAATTACGAACAGCAAATAACTTCAGCATTTCTTGGTTAGTTTTTCTTTCCACCCAAACAAAAAAAATTGTGTCAATATATTTCTGAGTGATGGTCAATCCTTATTTGAACCTATGAAAGTCAGAATTAACAGAAGCTACATTTCAACAACAGAAGTACCCTCAGCCAGCAAAGTGGAAAGTGAAAAGCAATGCTAAAAGTTGGAGGAGGAGATGCAGTGCGGTCCCAAGTTAAAACTATGACAAACTAATTTTAGCCAGATTTCACACCTCAAGGATATGTACCCTGAACAAACATTCAACTTACCATTTGTCTGCAATGATCTTGCCAGCATTTATTTATCTTCTTTAAAAATAAAAGACTATCCAGAGAATCTGTACAGCATCCATTAAGGAACACTAGTTTGCCAGTACCTTTAGAGGCCAGATTCTGGAGATGATCTTTGCCAGCCATTAGGCAAAGCTGCTCCATGGATATTCCAATGCTACTGCGCCTGCCAGGGATAAACCGTTGACTGCAGAGCTGCCCAGCACAGTGGCTGGCAGCTCTCCAAAAGGCCTCCCTGTGTTTTCAAGGAAAAACACTCCCACCTCTTCAGTAATACCATCTAGTGGCTGCACTGTGCAACCTTAAACAAGAAATCTAACACACGTTTGTCACCAACTGAGGTGAGAGGGATGGAGAGGTTATTTTGTTTATTTAATGAGTTCACACTGAGCACAACAGGAGTGACCCTAATCTCTTAAAAGCAGTTACAGTTCTAAATAATCCTCAACAAATCCAAATACCACTCTTTTCATATACATCTCCAGGTCACCCTAAGTAATCTACAGAGTTTTCTTCATTACACAACACATCCAACTGTTATTTACAAATAATACATTTCTCATGTATCTCACAAGTAAATCTAAATGAGGCTTTACCTTCCTCTCCCACACATTATCATCATTTCCAACTCATTCTGGCTAAATCTGATTAATCTGATCTCATGTCTTTGGGATACAAAGTGGTACACCTGTAAAATATTAAATTTTCAACTCTCCAATCCAATATCACCCTATCAAGAGGGCAAGGTGAAAGCAAAGTTTGCAAAAACTAGTTTTAAAATGTTTTCTTCATAACATCATCTGAAGTCTGAAAAAGCAGGAATGCAAAGGGTGGTTGTATGCTGCTTTAAAGAAGACTATAAGATTTGGTTCTCAAAGACCAGGTATGTTAAAGACTACTGTACTAATGTGCTATGTAGAAGCCAAATGTCTTAAATGGGATTAAAAAAAACCCAAACAAACCACCAACAAAACCAAAACCACACAGCCCAAAACCATGTTGGTGCATGTACCATTAAAAACCCTAAATTATTCTGAGTGCAGGCACCTACCTGGGGAATGCAGTGAACCAAGAAACTGAGAGTCACAATTCAAAGCACATTTAAAGCATTCACCTGGAATGGAGGTTCGTTCTGGGCCCTGGCCCCTTGGTTTTTTCTACTTTATCCTATCATCTGCTAAAAAATTCCATAGAGAGCTGGGAAAAAAATGCCAGCAGCCACAGTGCTGTAATATCTGTTCAATATGGCACTCTCCATCCACCATCTGCTGGCTAAGGCATTTTCCAGGAATCTGGGGACAGCAAGGTGGACATAGACTATTCACCTGCTGCTCCAGCCGTGCAAGCCCGTGGCTATTACACAAAGAGACCTATGATATAAAGCACCTTCTCAGCATGCAAAGCTTTACTGGCTTCAGGAAACAGGGATGGCTACAGCCAGGTGTCCACAGAAGATCTACAGACACTTCTGTGATCCACTCAGCCAGAAGAAAAGTCCAGCATCGTAACCTCAGTAAACCATGGGGAAATTCACCATACAACTTCATCCTTCTATGCATCCCAAGACAGCCAAATAATCTCTTGAATTTAGAGCTCTCTTCCAGGAACCACCAAGGTACACATAAGATACATTAAGGCTTGTTCAATGCCTTTGAGATACATCACCGTTGACCAGTAGTTATTTTTGGTCAAACAGGTACACTGTATTTGAAAATTTTTTACTGTTGTTGATAATCACTGTGATTTTTTTAAGCTGTTGCTGCCATAAACATCACTACTCACCTACCATAGAAATTCATACCTGCTGAGAAATCTCACAGTGCTATTGACATTTTCTAGATTTAGTGTAAAATTTGCATCCCTATTAAAATGACAAATTCTTACTAGTATGCTACACATCAATACACAAAAAATATTCACCCAGATAACTAAAGTTGCCTATGACTGATTTAAAAACATACAAGCAAAGAACCTATAATGCATTGACAATTACTGGTGCATTTTTTGCAAAGTTTTGTTTTAAAAAATAATCATTTAAACTAACCATTCTAACCACTTCTGTGCATGACAAAAGGATATTCTCTAAACTGAAGGATTTGTGCTTTCACGTGTTCTTCACAGACTTGTCGCAGCTGTTTGTACAGTGTAGCAGAGACTTTGTAGGAACAGAGATTTTCAACAGCCTAAAAACCAAAAAAGGATTACGAATGAGACAAAAAAAAGAACTTAAATTTTTGTGTCTATGTAATTAAGTCTGACAAAGGAAAAAAAAAATCAGCATTATATGTTCAAGCTGTGCACAAAACCAAAACATCAAAACGAAGTTATGTAGACAAATTAAAACTTCAGGAGTCCTTCCCGATTTTGGTCCCCTCTTATTCTGCTAGACTGTGTCACAAACAAGAGCCACCATCACAATCTGGGTCATATTTCAGATGTGCTGTTAAACACTACCAGAATTCTGCCTCCTTCAGTACTGCTCAGCAGTAGAACTCCTCCAGAAGGTCCATTTTGTGCATCCCTCAGTATGCACACAAGTGCTTTTTTGGGGCAGGAACACAACCATACAAAATATTTTAATTTTTTATAACTTTAAGTTAGACATTTCAACCAATCTCCCTAACTGGTAAATGAGTATAGGGCCTTTCCTGTCTTTTTATCAACTTATTTCTTCCCAAGTATTTCCACTGATTCACACACTCATGCTAAGGTACATAAACTGAGAGGAAAAAATAATTAAGAAAAACCCCAAACAATAACAAAAGCCCCAAAACCAACCCCACATTAACCATTACATAAAGACTTGAACTTTTTCATTGGGAGCTCATAGGATTTATTTGAGTATTTATCCTTAGTTAACTAAGGATGCCAATTCTGCCCAAAACCAAATGTTCTGGTGGTCACTATATTAACATCAGCTGCTGTTATATTATGAGGCAATATTGCACAGAACGCTGCCAAGGATTTAAAGCACTATGTCACCTGGGCAACTAAAACTGACCCAAGAATATTTTCCTCTGCTCCAGAGGATTCTAACCTACCTAATCTAATTTTATTTAAATGTGCATAAAAATGGCCTCCACAATTTTGATACAACATTAAAGCAGGCAAACAAAATTATAACACAGTGCCTATAACATTTTTCATCTGGTCTTAAGGCAAGTAAAATGATAACTTGCAACAAACAGTATTCAGACAATCACTTTGCAGATAATGTTATAGCTACCCCTATCTACCCATCCAACTTTAAGTCTGGTCAGGACTCTCATAATTTTTTCCTTCATTGCTCTACTGTCTTTCCTTTGCTACTACACTGTCCTGGTCTATGTCCTCCAGAAGGGCAGTGCTGCCCCAATTCAGGTTATTTAGGACCTTGCTGCAAAGGTAATTTTCTTTTTCCATTATTTTTATCACTCACTCCTCATTCAGCAATTCTTTGTACTGCCCCACTTTCTCTATCCCATCAAGTACAAGCTACTTCTATCAAAATCTGTGCAATCTACTACCAATCCCAGACATCATTTCTATTTTAGTCACAAAAAACTAGCTGCCACCCTCCCATTGCTCACTGACTACATTTCTGCCAAGCACCTTCATGCCTGATTCCATGCTGCCTCTAAGGCCTGAAAAGGAGTATCCTTCAGGCTTCCACACAGCCTCATCATTGTTCTTCAGTTTCTTCCCAGCCACTGTGCCAAATTAAATAAATAAATCAGAAGCTCCAACTGTAGGCTGGTACACCAGCCCACTGAGTGCACTGAACTCTAGCAGGCCTCTCACTTCCTCCCACAATGTCAGATAAAGACTCAAAGCCCCAAAAAAACCACCACAAAGGCCTGATAGTAAGAACTGATGCACCCAGAGATATTTTCCCCTGTGGATGACTCGATGCTCACCAACAGGCAGTTAAAATGATCTGTAAATACAGATCAGGTTTCCAATGGATGCTGAACCTCATCTTTTATTCCTCTGGCAGGACAGTAAATACCTGTCCATGCACAGGCACACCGAGCACCACCACCCACTGTGCAGAAATCTTCCTGATTTGCTGTGTTAAGGATTATTCAACCAGCCTTGTACAGTTTTTACAAATAAGCAGGCAAAGAGAAAAAGCAAGAAGTACAATTCTCCCTTCACAGTTTATCTGAAATATCTCTCCTCTTCTGCCAAAACTCAAACACATACCCTAGTGATTTCATAGCCATATTACTATAATCTCATTTCTGAGCCTCTGAAAACAAGTTAGGTAACACTCGAAGCATCTGTGGGCTGGTTTTTGGTTTATTTTTTTTTTTTTGCTAGACATGAAAAAGCAGGGTTTTTCAAATGCTGAATTTAAAACAAAATGCATTATGTCGTTCAAACTGTGCAAATCTGCAAGTATTAACAGATAAATATATTACAGTCAAGCTTCCCATTGAAAAGGAATAATTATTTTATATCAAAATACATTTACATAATCAGCCATTTTAGACCCATATATTACATAGCCTAACTAAAGAGATAAGTATAGTCAGATCTGAAATCCATCCTCAACTTCTTGAGCAGGGACCCAGTAAGGACTACTGGCCTTCTCTCTCACAGTCTCCCCTTCACACCTCAACTAAACATTCAGAATATTTTAGGTGTGCATAATAATGTTTTCAGTCCTGGTCTAGCAAGGACATCAATCTGCAGATCAAACACCTGCACCCACAGAAAACTCATGTTAAGTAGCACAATTTAGAGCATCAGTAGTCTTTTACAGCATGATCACTCTAAAAAGCTGCTACTTCAGCTAAATATCTCAAAAGCACATACATCTGAAATAGCACAGAACTAAACCACATATAATTGGAGAATGTAGAGAGAAATGGCTCAGGATTCCATCTCTCTTTTACCCTCCCTAGCCCCTGCTCCAATGGTCCAGGTGTTCCAGAAATGCTTTTGCACCGCTTGAACCAAAAAACTAAGATTGTTATGAAAATCTAACAGTAATCTGAAATGTGGATAAAGTGGCAGTTTGTTGCCTGCTTAATTAAGATTCCTTTTTAATTCCCCAAAAGGTATAGAAGTGTAGTATTAAAATGTAATAATATCAAATACTTCAACATTACTATTTACAAGAGACCACATCATGGACAAAAATCATCATAAAATACATAACTTCATAACCCTGTTAGAGTAACATCCTGTTTTCAGCATGTTGAGTGGGCAGAGTATTGGAGATACTAAGACTCAGCTCTCAGCCCTGCCCAGGAACAGCTTTCTGCACCTCCCAAGAGAAACTGCTTTTTCATGGGCCCAGATCCTGGTAGCTCTCCGAGGAACTGATAAACAACTGACTACAAACAGAGTAAGTAGCGAAGTATTCAATCAGCTTTTAACAAATCAAAATACATTACGTTGAATGTGTGCCAAGCACTTTATTTGCAAAAAAAAAAAACCAAAAAAAAAACCGAAACCAAAACCTTATGTAGCTTACCTGGTAGAGCTCTTCAAGGTTGTATTTAATAGAGATGCTACTCTGTATAGCTCCCACCGCTTCATGAAGTTTCTGCCAGGTGTCCTGAGTATAATTATCTGGTAATTTGGGTCTTTCTGTGAAGTAAAACACAGGTAGTTTGAAACCGCCCACCCAACGGGAGCCTGCAGCAATGTCTCTCCCTGCTGCTCCATGAAGCTCTGCCAAGCCACTGTGCTCTTGGCCATGTAAGTCTGGCACTCTCAGAGGGGTCACTAATTCCACCCGAGCCTTTGCACGACGCGCCTCACCCCCGGCTGCTGTGTTTGACGCCCGTGTTACTTTCAGCGAGGCAACCACCCTCGCCTGGCTTTAATCAGCGCTGACACTAAGGTGGCTTTCTGCCCGCTGCCTACGGCCGCTGCCCCCGCGCACGGAGCCCCACGCGTGTCCCCGGGAGCCCTTCCACGGGCACGGTGCCGGCGGCGTTATCAGCCCGGCGGCGTTATCGGCGGGTGACAGCGGCGGGGCCCGGCCGCGGGCAAGGGGCGGGGAGCGGCCGGGGCCGCGGTAAACAAAGATCGGGCCGAGCGCACCTGCCAGGACAGAGGGCCCGGCCTGCCCCGTACCCACCTCTGAAGTTCTTGATCACGAGTTTCTTGGAGGAGGCGGTCGCGCCTCCGCCTCCTCCTCCCACTCCCGCAGAGCGGGTGGCGGTCAGCGAGGCGGGCTTGGTGAGCCCGTTCGTGTGTCCCACCAAGGCCGACAAGTGCGACTTCTTCTGCGGCTCGTCCGCCATCTCCGCCCCGGGCGCCGTGTCCGGCCGGGGCAACGCGCTGGGCTGGGCCGGGCCGGGGCCGGCTGGTCCCCGCCTCCGCTCCCCTCCTCCTCCGCCGCCGCCGCCACCCAGCCGCCCTCCCCCACTGCCCGCGGGCGGCTGCCAAGTGCCGCCGGAGGGAGGCACCGATAGCCGCCCGCCTGTCCCCGCCCGCCCCGGCGCGGGTCCGGGTTCGAGGGCGATCCCGAGTCCGGGCGGCCCGCGGCGCTCGGGAGAGCCAGCCCCGCTCTCAAGATGGCTCCCGGGCCGGGGCAGCCTGCCGCCGGCGGCCCCTCGGTGCCCCCCGCTTGCCCTGGCTCTGTTTGCTGGCACCCGCCGAAGGGTGGCCGGAGCGAAAGCCAAGGAGCAGCCGCTCTTCCCGCCCACAAGAGCCACCAGCCCGAGAGGCAGCCCGCGCCCCGCTCACCGGCACCTGCCAAACCCAACCGAGCCCAGCCTGCACGAACATGGAGCGTGTCCTTGTCTCACACACCTCCCTAGCGCCAGCGCCTTTAGGAGTCCATCTGTTCGGGAGTTTAATGCTCAATTCAACTTTTTCCACCCAAGTTCACCGCGACCCCTCGCCAGCGCTGCCCGTGGGCAACGGAGCTAGCGAGGTGAGATCGGAGGCGGGCCTCCACAGCTCTCCCGGGGAAGTAACCGGAGTGTCCCCCCACTGGGGTCCTGCCGCACGGAGGGCGCTGCCCGCCTCCTGTCCCAGCCGAGGGTACAAAGGGCAGCGCGGGTGACAGCGACATCACCCGCGCGACCCCGCCACCCCTCAACGCGCGGCGCGCCACAGCGCACGAGGTTTACCGCTGACGCGCGGCCTCTGCCCCGCCCGCCGCTCACTCCCATTGGCTGCCCGAGTGAAGCCACGCCCCGGGCGCGCGGTGGGCGGGGCAGCGGGATCTGGGGGCTGTCACGTGACGCTCGGGGCCGCTCCCGCGCCCTCAGACGCGCCTGGATCCGGAAGCGCGCGGGCGGTTCCGGCAGTTCCGGGAGTTGCGGGGCTCGCACGGCGGCTCCGGTGTGCGCCTCCCGCCGCATCTCCTCCCCATCTCCTCCCCTTCAATGGCGCACATCACCATTAATCAGTACTTGCAGCAAGTAAGCAAGACTTTTTATCTTTTTTTTAATGAGCCGGTGGGCCCTGTTTGAGTGTGTGGCTGTGTTCTGGTTCGCTGTAAATATGGTGCCTTGGTTAAGAAATAAATCAACGGAGGCTGAGTGGTGTGGTGGGGACATAGATCTCTTCAGGGTGCTTGAAGCACACCGCGTCTGAGTGCCAGGGTGTACACCTGGAGTGCCTGAAGAGTGTGCGGGTTTCTGAGGTCATTTGTGTGTGAGAGCCGCCACGGAGGGCGGTGTGGGGGTGTGTGTGTCTGTGTGTCTCTGTGTGGTTGTGTCTGTCTGTGTGTCTGTCTGTGTGTGTGACTCTGTGTGTGTCTCTGTATGTGTGTGTGTCTGTCTGTGTATATGTCTGTGTGTCTGTCTGTGTGTGTGACTCTGTGTGTGTGTCTGTCTGTGTATATGTGTGTGTGTCTGTCTGTGTGTGTGACTCTGTGTGTGTCTCTGTATGTGTGTGTATGTCTGTCTGTGTATATGTGTGTGTGTCTGTCTGTGTGTGTGACTCTGTGTGTGTCTCTGTATATGTGTGTGTATGTCTGTCTGTGTATATGTGTGTGTGTCTGTCTGTGTGTGTGACTCTGTGTGTCTGTGTATATGTGTGTGTGTGTCTCTCTGTGTGTGTGACTCTGTGTGTGTGTCTGTCTGTGTATATGTCTGTGTGTCTGCCTGTGTGTGTGACTCTGTGTGTGTGTATGTGTGTCTGTGTGTGTGTGTCCAGGAGCGAGGGCAGCTCAGGGTTTGGGGAGCAGAGCGCTCGGAGGCGCGCAGAAATGTGGACACAACTCGTGACACGCAGGATGGAGGGGCAGGAGCGGAGCCGCAGGGATTCCAGCGTCATGGAGCTGTCACTGACAAGCTTCTTGTGTCTCCACTCTGCATGGTTCTTGCTGTACCATGGTATTCTCGTCGCTGTTATCATCTTATTTCCTCTGGCATTAGTTAAGGAGCAAAAAGAAAGTAATTGTTTGGGTTTTAGTCTCCAAAAATGGAGAGTCTGAGATCTCCCAGGACAGCGGTCTGCACTGAAAAGCCCACGTTTTGTGAGGTTGACACTCCATTGAACATTCAAGATGAAAAAATACCTCACAAACGTAAACTTACATCTTCTTTTTCCTGAAATAAAAGCTAACCACAAATCTCTGAAAGAGTCTAAACAGTTTGTTTTTCCTTTTTTGTTGCTATTTTAGTCTATGGCATTTTTTTCCCATTTGGTATGAGCTTTCCATACATCAGAAAGATTTTTTTTTTCATATGGGGACACAAAAATATGACAAAGCACAAGCAATGGGAAGGAAACTGTTAAGAAGTAATGCCTAAAACTACCTGCATAACTGAATAAATTTTCACCTTGATGTCACAATAACCTGTCCAAGCAGACTGTTTTTTACAAGGAGTTATCTTTAGCAGGAAGCAGGATTAAACCATTCCTCCACAGAATATAACATTTGCAGTCTTAGCAGGTTTCAAAAGCATTTGATACAGATAGAATATCAGTCTAATATCAGGCCTTGCCTTTGGAATGATATTTGCATGTTAAATCTTCCTGTCTTCATTTTAAAGCATTTCCCAAATATTGCATCTTTGCATCCATGTTTGATGCCTAGAAGTCCAACTGGAATTTTAAAAAGCTTAACCAAATCTGGCTCCCAACTGCTGTTTAACAGTGCTAAACCCATGTACATACATCCTTGTAGCTTGCATCCTACAAATAAGGAAAAAGCACAATGGTGTTCTCTTTACCTTCCCCCTGAGACCTTTTTGAACAACAGGTGTATTGGAAATACAAAATTATTTATTCAATGTTAAGCCTTTAAAAACTCACATTTGATTTGATAGTAATATGTATGTACAGTGGCAACTAGGTGGTGGCTTCTGTAGTTGTGTAAATGTGCTGTGTGTCTGTTGCTGGATTTTATTCTGTAATGTGTCTGTTTACTTTGGTAGGTACAAGAAGCCATTGAGACCAGAGATGGTACATTTTGTGCAGAATTGGTATCATTTAAACATCCACATGTTGCAAACCCAAGGCTACAGGTGAGGATGTTTTTTGACCTTTTGTTTTCCTTTTACTTTTCCCAGCTCTGTGTGTGGGTGCCTTTCCATTGGAGAGAAACCTCAGAAATCTGTTTCACAGGCTGAGGTAGTATCCCCATGTGGGTTTGCTTCCCTTTTCTTTTTACCAGCATACTATATATAATTTTTGTGTTCTGGTTGGCTCTTTGTGTTCCATTTTGAACTGTTTTCTGGATAGATACAGTTTTGAATGTCCTTTCTGACCAGGTCTGCATTAGTTATTAGCATAGCACTGTGAAAGGCACTAGAGACAAAAAAGCAGTGGGCAGTAAGGACTTGGTGTTTGTGTGTTTTGGATGCTTTTATTTAAGGCTGGCTCTGTTCAGGTTCTGGAGACAGAATGCACACTAGTAATTCATTATTTTGGATATGATTGTTAATATAATTTAAAGTTCTGGTAGATGCATACTAGAGGTCCCTTCCAACCCTAGCAAATCTTTGAGAACTGCCATGACAAAATATGCATATGATGTTCTGTTTCTGGTGCATTGGATGTCCCTGTAATGTTTTATTGATTTATTCTACACTTAGCTTCCATCTCCAGAGGAGAAGTGCCAACAAGTTTTGGAATCGCCATATGATGAAATGTTTGCAGCCCACTTAAGGTAAAGGTGGGCCCAGAATGTAAAGTCAGTTGTGAGGTGTGCAGCAGGGATGGGGAAGGATATCCTTAAGTTTACTTTCCTATCTTAAAGGGCTTACACATGAAAACTTGGTATTTATTACTCTTATAAATAATGCTAGAATTGCAGGAAATAAAGACTTTCTTTCTCCTCTCCATATGAAGTTTGCTCTGTGTACCTGGCTGTCATCTGTGTATGGCCATTGGCACAGCTTTGGTGTCAGTGCTTGATGTTTCCCCTCTGCCTACTAGCTGCACATGAATTTAGAGTGAAATAAGCAAGGGAAATAAATATTTTTAAAAGGGAATTTTAATCATAAAAGTACTTTTAGGAGAGCTTAGTATCTAATTCTGCAAGGCTTTTACTAAATAATTTTCTGCATCTAGTATCTTTCAACAATCTTGCGTTTTTAAAATTTAATCTTGGTGACAGTTTCAATAAGCATTAGCTTATGTAAAAGAAATACCTATTAATCTCTAGCATCTGTTTTCTACAATTATCAAGCTTAGTGCTCTATTAAAATACTTGTGCCATTTTTTTAGGAATGCTTCTAGTCATATTCCTTTGTGCCTTAAATAAACTGTAAACCTTCATGCCTGGTAGGACACAAAAACAAATATTTCATTTATGTATGTTTTCTGATGCACTAATGCCCCTTTTCTTTGACAGGTGTACTTATGCAGTTGCAAACCATGACTTTGTAGAAGCATACAAATGCCAAACAGTTATTGTCCAATATCCTTTTCCATAAATCTTGCATATTGTTTTCAGATTAACTTCTTGTAGAATAAGTTTTCTTTATGGTTATTAAAAATCTAATAGGACATGGTCTGCTTCCCAATACACTTCAGTTGTTTAGGTTTTCTAAACAAGGAAATCCAGACACATTCTTCTTCCAGCTTTCTATAGGGCTAAGAAAGAATGTTTTACTTGGCTCTAAAATAGAATATTAATTTCTCCCAGAATGTAGGAGAGTTTCAAATCATTGTAATACCTTGCAGTTTGTATGTGGCTGGAGGGGAAGATAATGATAAAGAAGCTTCTATCTTATCTCTGGCCAGTGTTTCTTACTGCTGCTGCCACTCAAAGGGGTGCATGGCTGTGCTCACTTTCTTCATACTGCACCTCAGCTCCTCAACTTCTTGATGGTGTTTTGATTTCTAGTCTTTCATGAAGTCATATATGGAGTCTTTCATGAAGTCATATAGAAAATTTAAATTTTCCTCAATACCATACATCTTTCCTGCGAGCATTTCAGGCACATAAAGAAGAAAATTGGTGAGTACATGGTAGAAAGCTACTAGAAAATAGACTCATCTTTTCCTAGTATAATACCATTGGAGTCAAACTAAAATTATATCTATACTTTTATTTGTCCCCAGTGATGCTAAAATCAAGCCTAATTGGCTTTGTTGCCTGGTTAAGTTTCATGTCCAAAGTGTTGAAACTAAACATCTGAGCTTGATTGCATAGAATGGTCCATATGTAAATAGATGAAGGATTTGTTCAAAGAGAAGTGGAATTTTATTAAGCCACAGTAAAAAAGAACTTTGAAATAATGATTGTAGTATAGGATTTCTGAAATACTGAGATCTTGAAGAACTGTCCCTTTAAGAAGTGCATCCTTCTTCTTTTAAAGATTAATATATAATTTTCTAATTGTATGACCAACTAAAAAAAAAAAAATTGCTTGTTTCTCATGTCTTACTTATTGCTTGATTTGCACCTACTAAGTATACTATGATTTTCTTTTCCAGGGCCTTACCTATTATGTATTCTGTAGCCCTTGATCTTCGAATTTTTGCTAATAATGTAAGTAGATCTGATTAACAGCCTCATTACTTTTATCTGTTTGGTATTTCCACAATAGAAATATTTTTACAGAGTTTATTACACAGTCTAATTTTGCTCAGTTCTCTTTAACTCATTGTTTAGGATTTTGTTGACTTGCTAAATTCATCCACTCTTACTGAAAGATGAGGTTGCTAGATCTGTCCACCTTCTGTTGGCAGTTGGAACTAGAGGAGTTCTGAGGGCCTGAATGCAGCTCCCAGCAGTTGTTTAGAACTTATGAAGGGATAAATATTTTCTTTATTGAGTAGCACCTGGTGTAAGTCACTATTTCCATGTTATCCCTGGGATTTGGTGGAAATTTGAGGTATCACAGACAACCAGACTGATTTGACCATTCACCAGATCTGAAGAGGGAACTTTCTGCTCCCCTTTTCCAGACGTGTGAACCACTTCTGATGCTCTTTGGAGCCCTTGGTGAGCCCATACAACTGCTGACATGCTAATAATCCCCAAATTTACATTATTTTTTCTCAGGCTTGTGAATTGAAGTAGCTTGTGTAGGGATCTGTTGAGAACTTCTAGGCCAAGTTAAGTGGCAGAGTTGTGATTTTGTTCCTTGTCACTTCAACTGAAGAGTTGAAGCTAGAGTTGAAGTGAGGTTAGGGTTTGACAATGTCCAGTATTTTCAGTGTTCATCCCCCTCATCACTCTCTCATGCCCACTCACCCACAAAACCACATGAGGAATGGGAATACTTGCACAGTGAGTACTTTTTGTGTGTGTTACTGCTCTGCAACAAGTGTCACTTCTCAGTTTGAATGAGGGAAATCCATATCTCTGAGATGCATGAGAAAGGATACTGTTGAATCAGTCATGCTGGAAGTGTTTGAACTCTGTCTTCTGACCTTAGTGTATTATTCAGAGGATCTGGTTTCAGAGAAGACTTCTGCAGCAGGATGCATTTCCATTTCTTTTATTTATGCTTCGACTAGTGAGAATGCAAACACTATGATAAAACACTTTAGAAAGCACGTAATAAATATCTACTTGCTATATTTTTTCTGTTGAAGTTCTGCATTAGTCAATGTGTGGATCTTTCCCATATGTTGACAACTGAATTATTTTTTTTCTCTTGCTGCTGTAACGTATGTTTTATCTTTCTTCTGGAAGTCTCAGGTCCCAGCAGTGTGTGTTACTACTGGAAACTGTTGAACATGGTTTAGAAATAAAATGTAGTCTTTGTGGCTGTGGAGAGAAACTGAATTATAAATTCTAAAACTCAAACTCCATAATTTTTTCCAGGCTCTTGGTCTTTGTACACTTGAGTTGAAGTGTTAATGCTCCAATTCATGCATTAAACCTGAATTTGGGTTTCTGAGAGCTGCATTAAGCTGAGTGATGCTAAAGGTAATAGTGGTCAGTGCTATTTTCCAAGGACTGTCCTTCTCTAATTGGGGTTGGTACATGTCCATGAGCCTCTCTGAGTGTTTTCTTTTGTTCTGGGAGCTTGACTGCCTTCTAGATTTGTGAGATAGCAGCCATGATAGATCTCTTGCTATAACACTTTATAAAATGCTAAATTAAAAAACTAAATTTTGCAACCCAGTGAACCACGATGTAGAATTGCATATTGTTTCTTGCTAGGCAGATCAACAGCTTGTGAAGAAAGGGAAAAGCAAAGTGGGTGACATGTTGGAAAAAGCAGCAGAGCTGCTGATGGGCTGCTTTCGAGTCTGTGCCAGTGACACGTAAGTGAAAGACCCTCTGCTGGACTTGCACTAGTAAATTACTGAGAACTTAATGAACTTTGCTTTAGATTTTCCCACATACTTAGACCAAATATGGGTCTTAGAATGAACACTTCTGAGGCTTGTCTCTTCTCATTTATTGTCTTAATCCCTTGACTATTAACTGCAGAGGGAGAGCCCTCACTTTAGGTTTAGCATTCCTAGCGGGTATTGTTGGGAGGCACTGATTATATCCCTGTTTCTCAGGAAAGATGATTAATGCTTCTGTGCCCTGTTAGTTATGAAGTTTGCTTTATTAGAATTAATTAGATGGAAAAGAGGTGGATCTGGTTTCCAGTGTTAGCAATTTTAACACTTCTGAAGTGGAGAAAAAGCTTTTTTTTGGGTCTTTCTTTCATCTCAGGTATTATAAGCCACTGCTATGTTCGTGTATGTTATCTGCAAACTGGAGTGAGGACCCTGATGCAGATGAATAATATTCTGCTTGACATCTTTTCATTATGTTGAGAAAATATATAGCAGAGCTACACCTCTTTTTACCCTAAAAAATGCTATGGAGTGAATCTCTATGGAATGAATTTACTGTGAGGACAAAGTCATTATTTTCTTACAATGTTCGGTACTAGCAGGTTTTTTCTTTTTCCTTATGACAGTCGAGCAGGCATCGAAGACTCAAAAAAGTGGGGCATGTTGTTTCTTGTGAATCAGCTGTTTAAAATTTATTTTAAGGTAGGGTTCAAGTCTGGTAAGCCGTTTTGTATTTCATATTCTAAGTTAAACCCACCCTGTTTTTATATGATACCATCTATCTACACTCTGATTAAATTGTTGGGGTTTTTTTTAACAGATCAACAAGCTCCATCTCTGTAAGCCCTTAATTAGAGCAATTGACAGCTCAAATCTGAAGGAGGAGTATAGTATGGCACAGAGAGTTACATACAAATACTATGTTGGACGCAAGGCCATGTTTGACAGCGACTTTAAGCAAGGTACTGTGTGCCAGTAAGACATGTTTAAAGTCTTGCTGCTTGGCATGAAATCTTGCTGAAGTTGTGTGTGTGTGTGTGACTCAGAATTGCACTGATCAAAGGAAAAGTCATGCTGAAAGGTCCAAGGCCCAGAGGCTGACTCGAAACAGAGATGAGGTTACATGACACTTCTAATCAGCTTTAAAATATTTGTGTCAGTGAAGTTCCCTACTGTCTTATGCATTATGTGTGTGCATTACAAAATGTGTGAGCATCCAAAAGAATAGGTCTGTAAAAGTTTTGCAGAGGAGCCTTCAACTCTTCAAGTTGCTGTGTGCCACTTAGGAAATCTTTAGCAAACTGTAGTGTAGCAAACTCTAGTTTCTCGATCCATTGGAAGATTTTGGAAGATGTACAAACTGAGTTTCCTAGATTTCTAATAGATTTCACTAACAGAAATGCTAGAGCTAAGGGGTACAGCTTCATCACTAACTGAAGCCCTGGACCAACATCTGTTCTGGAGCTGGATCTTTACTCCAAATAGCGTGTGCTGCCTTTCAGGCTTGTCATTTTCTCTCTATCGGTGGAAGCTGCTGAGAGGTTTTCATGCTGTTGTGCCGTATGGTCTCACTGGCACATTTTTGCAGCTCAGGAGATGTGGGCATTGCAGTCAGCTTTCATCTCTTGAAGAACCTAATCTCAATTTAGGAAATAGAGTGTATAGAGTGACCAGCACTTCTTGAGATTCTCTTCTTCTGTAATAGGAGTGCAATAATATTAAATATTACTGAAATGAGCTGAAAAATCCAATATTACTTGTAACTGTAATGTCTGACATGAAGATCTTGATGAGTTTTCTTTGACTTTCTGAAGGAGAACTTACCTTTCTAGTAATACTTTGTATTTTGTATGAATCTCCAACTTTTCTTTATGTATTTTGAGTGGCATGATTTTTTTTTATACAATTTCAAATGTTACGTGCTCAAGAGAGATGGACATTGAGCATACGATTTTAATCCATTTTTGTGGTTGATTTGTGTTACTCGTGCTTGCAGCTGAAGAGTATCTGTCATTTGCCTTTGAGCACTGTCACCGATCAAGCCAGAAGAACAAAAGAATGATTTTGATCTACCTGCTGCCAGTAAAAATGTTGTTGGTGAGTAGATGCCACTTTTCTTAATAAGGGGAAGGGGGTACACATGCAGACTGTAAAACTGATGCTCAGTATTTTCTTGGTTTTCCCTTAGTGGAATTCAGAGACTATTTTATCCCTGTAAGAGCCAGTGTATGCACACCTTGTTACCTGAGGGCAAAAAAGTGTTTAGTTGTCATTTATAGCAACGTGGGAAAGGAGATAGGAGGGGAAATAACACAACCAAACAAAAAAAACCCCATCCCCAAACTAAACCAACCCGGCCCTCCTTTCCCCCTACCTTTCTCCCACCCCTCCTAAGGGTGCAACCTGATCTTACTACTTTAATGAAGGTATATTTGAATTCTTTGGAGAAGCACTCAACAGTGTGACTTCTGTCTTGTAGCAGAGTGCCTCTCTGCTGATCAGCTGCACACAAAAGCCAGGGAAGGTGTGGATTCACTGGAAGCAGAATTTGTCTGCCTCTTTCACCTGGTGGAAGAAAGAAGGGTGTGCAAGCAGATGGCTGAGGACTGTTGAGAGGGGTTTGCTGCAGCTACAGCCTGCCTTTGGCTTTTTTATTTGTACCTCGTACATTTTCCCATTCAAGGCATGTCAGAAGGGTCATGAAGCAGAGCATTTTGGTTCTGAAAAATCAGTGAAGACTTGTTACTGTTTGATCATTTCATATTTCTATTAAAAGAATTAAGCACATGTGTTTCTTGTTCCTGTCCATTCCCATGTGCTGTGCTAACATTTGTGTATCCCTGAATTAGTGGATTATGCTGAGTATTAATTCAGTGTGACTGAGGGGACAGGAACTAGATTTTAGAGTTTCCTGTTCTGGCCCTGTTCCCAAAGTTGCCCATGTAGAATGTTTCTCCTGCCTCTGTTGAGTTGCCACTTTCCACCTTCCCCCTGACCTGTTTATGACCTCCCTGCTTTTTCCTTTCAGTGCTTCTTTCCAATTCCTTGCTGTGTCAAGTGGGTAAAGGGGAAGTATAGTGGGTATGATAATTGGCTTCTGTTTTCCTTGTTTTAATTGTCGCCTTTCTTAGCAGCTGTTTTCAGATCAGTCATTGGTAGGGTTGGTAAAGGAAAACTTATTAACAGTCTTCCTAAAAGCTTTGTCCCAGTCCTGACTAGGTGCCTTAAGCTGGTTGGTCTGTTAGTGCCTAGAATTACTGTGGCTTTTCTAAAGCAGTTTTAGTGTACAAGAGACATTAAAGAAGCTAGATAAAAGGTCATTGTATTTATAGTTACTTTTTAAAATCAGAGCCCAAATATTAACACTAACTTCAAACTACTAAAATAGCTTGTGTGTTGGTTTTTTGTTCCTAACAGCTCTCAGTAAACCTGCAGCTCAGTTCTGCTCTCAGCTAATCCTTCATCCAGGAAAGGAGTTAGCAACAGCATAGCATGATGTAACTAAATTTAAAGTCTGACCAAGTCAGCGTGCATTCTGATCTTTGCTGTGCAGGGGATAAAAGGCAAAGTTTCTTTTTGATTCTGTAGGTGGTTCAGTCTTACCTGATGTAACAATAAGAATTAATTTTGTTCCCTTAAATTTAACCTTTCTCTCCCCTTTTTTTCTTTTTTTTTGGGGGGTGAGGAGGGGGCATGGTGGTGGTGTTTGTTTTCTGAGAGGACATTTTTATTTCTGCATGGAGGCATAGAGAAGAAAAAATCAGTTACAGACTGAGATAACACTTGACAAGGCTGAAGAAGTGCTCATATTCCTTTGGAAATGCTTGGGAGTCCTGCAGTTCTTCTGTTTGTAGATTAGATGATAGAGCTATGGCATAATTTGAATCTGCCAAGGCCTCATGTACAAGATCTTGATTCTACAAGTTTGATAGATGTTCCCTAACAATAAGTGTTGCTTGTCCCTAAATCATGATAAATCAGTAGTTACTGTGAGTTGTGCTATAAGAGGGACAAGGAGGTTGTCTTGCAAATACTTTTATTCACTTCTTATTCTGTAGCAAAAAAAAAAAATGGTTAAACATTCTTCTTTTTTGTCTTAACAATTTTTTAATAGCTTACTAGAAAAAAAAAAAAAGGTTAAACATTCTTCTTTTTCTCTTAACAATTTTTAATAGCTTACTAGATTCTATTTAAAATGCATTTAACTTTACCCTGGAAAACTTGGACACCATTTATTTTTCAGGGCCATATGCCAACAGTTCAGCTCTTAAAAAAGTATGACCTTATGCAGTTTGCTGAAGTAACAAAGTCCGTGAGGTATGATTCTTGCTTTTCTGCTTTGTGTTCAAAAAGTATTAAGTAAAAAGTGTTTCTTTGGGGTGATTGAGGAAGCAGGGGAAGCATATTCCTACCAAGTCGTACTTTCTTTTTTTACTGGTGTGAGACCTTCTCACTTTTTCATTTCTTTATCCTTGCAGTGAAGGAAATCTTCTCCTTCTGAATGATGCTCTGACAAAGCATGAGACCTTCTTTATTCGATGCGGAATCTTTCTTATCCTTGAGAAGCTGAAAATCATCACATACAGGAATCTCTTCAAGAAAGTGTAAGCATAACAAAAGCTACATTTTTGCAAAAGCAGATTTAATATGGTTTCACCTGGGAGTGAGGTAGAATTGTGCATGCTCCTTAGCTCTCTCTGAGAGAGCTAACTTCCTGTTAAGGTGAATTTATTGTAGAAAGGCCATTTTTCTAAGAAACAGAATTCTAAAGTGATTATTTCACAACAACACATTTTTCATATTTACTACTGTTGTTTCTTTCAGATATTTACTACTCAAAACTCATCAGCTATCTCTAGATGCTTTTCTGATTGCCCTGAAGTTCATGCAAGTAGATGATGTTGATATTGATGAAGTCCAATGTATTTTAGCTAACCTCATATATTTGGTAAGTGCTGACCACTTGTTTTCTGGTGCTTCCAGACTTCTGACAGTGACAAATACTAGACAGAGAATAACAGTTTATGACAAAAAACTCATCAGTAATCCCAGGTTTTCTTGTGGTGTTTTTTGAGAGACTTGTGCTCAAAGTGAAATGTTTTCATTTGTCCTGAGGACTCCTCTAGTTCCTGCCTTTTTTGCAGGAATCAGTTAAAATTGAAGTAGAATTTCACATTACAAATTCAATACTGACGTTTCTATATATGCAGAAACATTGATTTAAAAATACAAACCTTTCAAGTGGCACCAAAAAGATTTGTTCTGCATCTGAAGTAGGAGACTCTTGGTCTTCTCAAATTAGAAAAAAATAGAGCTAGATTTCTTTGGTTCTGTTCCAAATTTTTTCTTTTACTCTAAGTGAATCTCAACTGCTTATGAATGAATAAAAGCTTGAAATCTAAATATTTGTGTTAAATCAGAGGTTGTGAGGCATCACTATAGTGTCAGCAAGAAAATTAACCACTACTCTGTTTCTGAAACATAGTTTGATGTGGTCTAGGTCACTGGGAGATTTCTCTCACTGTTACAACACTATGTCTGAAAAGGAAGTACTATGTCATTTATTTTATTAGGTATGGAATACTAATTGATTCAAATCCTCATTTTAAAGTGAGCAAGAGTGAATTTAGAAACACTTGTGTAGAGCTCTGTCTCTTCGAGGCAGTGTAAGCAGACTCATGGGGGACCCTGACAAGAGGCTCTCAGTCTGACAGCTCCCTTAGTACACAAACAGGGTGGTGGCTCCAGCTTTGTGCTTGCTCTCAAAGGTGACCCGCTTACCTAAACTGGACCCTCATGGATATTGAAGTACAGTAGTGTAGTGGTGAGAGAGCATAAACAGCTTTGCTATGGTTAGCTTGTAAGTGTTTGCTTGGGTTGTAGGGATTGTGTTACCAGCTCTAAGTACTAACTCTGCCTTTTTCTCCTTCTGCCAGGGTCACATTAAAGGCTACATATCCCATCAGCATCAGAAGCTTGTGGTGAGCAAGCAGAACCCATTTCCTCCACTGTCAACAGTGTGTTGTTGAGTATTGCATCTTAGCCATGCAAGTACTCTTCAGATACTCAGCTTGCCCAGTGGAACTGATCCCAGTGACCCTAAGAACACTCTAAATGGCCTGGTTCATGTCCAGGACTGAAATACCAGGAACTGTTTGTGGCTCCTTTCCCAGAATGGCCAAGGCTGCCAGTGTTACAAAGTGCATTGAAATGAAATGTTGACTTTTAAATGGTAATTTCCACAGGCTTTCTAGATCATTCAAAGTATCTCATGAAGAAATAAAGCATTCCAAATTCCTTCCCAACTACTTAGAAGCTTTTGTAAAGTACTTCATGTTACTATCTGTGTTTATCCTTCAGAGGGAAGTATCAGCCTTTGTTGCTTGTGTTAATCCATTCTTCAGAGTGGAAGTAATGTTTTCTTACATGGTTTCCATTTTTTTTAAAGTCTCAATAATTTTGTGGGTATTAAATGCTCTCTTCAAACTGTCTCTAAAAAATAGAGAAGTTTGACACCAAAAGCTTTACTGTGTCAGTAATACTTACGTGTTTGAGTATATGTGGTAGGTGCCCACAGATGGCTTTGGGTTTTTTTAAAATTCTGGTCATATTTTGTTTAATTTTTGTTATGATGAACAAAAACTCCTGTAGCTAAATTATCCATACTCTGTTTTATTTTGCTTCTGGGGAAAACACTACTACTGGATCCAGTATTTTAAGTGTTACTACCCTGGGGGTTGGTGGGGGTGGTACAATATAACTTTGTCCAGACTGATGAGATCTTAGAATTTGCTGAATCAAACCTCAGGGTACTAGCCACATTTGAAGTCACAGAAAAATATAGAGTATGTTTTGAGATTTAGAATTAACAGTTCCAGGAAATGTAAAATTAAATCAGTTTTTAATTCAATAATTAGGTTTACTGTATTGTGACTCACAGTGCTGTGTCAGCAGAATGAAAGACAAAACAGGCTTTTCTGTATAAACTGGAGTTAAATACATGTCATTGTTGCAACTTCCATTGCTGCAAACAGTAGCAGAGTCAAATGGGGCTACTGGCTGCATCCATGTTTCCTTGCAACGATTGGTAGGGGCTTGGTGCTTGAGAGTTGGTTGTGTTTGTGTCTTACTTTATTTTTTGTTTAACCCATACCATATACCTTGCAGTGTTGGTGAAAAGCAGTGTTTCCCAGTCAGCGTCTTCCAGCGGCCAGGATCCCAGGATACCAGTCAGAAACCACGTGCCCTTGTACTCAGTAACCAAAAAGCTTCCTCCAGCCAGGTGTTTGTCTGTGGCCTCCTGGAGGTGCCCACAGAACTGCCTGTTTGTGAGGCTGATGTTGAGTATTTGCTTGCAGTCCTCAGCAGGCAGGTATGAAACCTGCAGCTCTTCCCCTTGAAGTTCATCAGCCTCCATTCTCCAGCCGCTGACTGTACCAGTCAGTTTTGGAATTAAAACGTGTTCTGCAAAGTCTCTCTCAGGGGTGCACACAGGAAGGTGGGAGCTGTCACACTCAACATGCTCTTGAAGTTGTAGTAATGCAATGTTGTTCTCACCAGTGTCTTCATCATACCGGATGTGGATGTGCTTCTCACTAATTTGCATTATCTTCCCAGTTCCACTTGTTCCATTAGGCCCTGTGGAGCAATGACATTTGACTGCTCTTAGGAATAGCTCATCAGAGACCTGAAAGCTGCATGCAAGCTGCTTGGTCGTGCTGAGAAACACGTGCAGTGGAGGAGCTAAAGGTGCTCTTCCTCAAAACCCCTGCAGTAAAGGGAAAGGAGGAGTAACACACTGGCAGCTGTTTAATGCTGGTAGGAGCATGAATAATTTCAGCAGTAAGGATGAATATCCAGCACTGATGTGAATTTTGGCGTGAAAATTCACCACTAAATCCACTATGTTTAGCTGATCTCTGGGTGCTGAGTTCTAAACTGTGCTCAAGAGGCACTTTCTGCTTGCCTTGTAAAGGGGAGCGTGCGGTAGCTGTAGTTCTAGCTCAGATACTTGACTGAGGTGCTTAAGTGAAATAACATCATATTTGTTTCCTTTAGCAATATTTTTATGCAGCAAGAAGCTTAGTAATCTTTTTTAAAATTTAGCTTGTCAATGCTGAAATGTGTTGCAGCAAGAAAAAATGTGTTGGATCACCTACCAGCGCCAACCCTGATTTGGAAATGGCTGTGCAGAAGGGCACACTCTGCTGTGGTCAACACGAAGTTACTTTTTAGCAACACTCCTCCACAGAAGCCTTTCCCTTCTGGGTTTAGCAGCAGTACCTAAGAAATGCAGAAAGACAATAGATAGCACTATCCATGTGAGGGTAAGTAATGGGTTTCATGAATTGCTAGGAATACCTGCCAAGGAAATTGCTCATCGCTTTTCTTCCTGGTTTCACTTATAAGGTTATCACTGTCTTGAAGTCTGCCACATGCACATGCATCTAACAAATGAATTTAAAAAGAAAAGTCAAAGCTTTATGCTGTATCATTCCAAGACAGTTAGTACCTGCAACTGCCTACTGTTTCATCTAGACTTTGGGGTTCTGCTTTTGCGCAAAGGAAAAGAATGACATTGTCTCAGCTGGTGAAAATTGCAATAATTTGTTTGGCAATTGTAGTCATAATAGTTTAGCAATGGGCTGAACATGGTCACTGTGTAAGGCTTGTAGGGACCAGGTTTCCCTGTGCCTCATTTCACTAATGAAATGAGGCTTCCTCTCCAGCCAACCATTAGCCCATCTTGATTTTTTGTCTTTGTATCCTGTATTCAAATTGTGTCAAGTACCTGAGAGCCGTGGCCCAGCCTGGACAACGTAAATCCTGGGTTTTCCTTGTTACAGCTGTCACTCTAGGGACATGCATGCCTTTCTCATCTGGTTCAAACAACACACATGCTTTTCAATTGGATCACCCAGTTATCTGCATTTGTCACACCCTCTTCTTGGGTGGTGGTCCCTAGATTCCTTTTTCTACCCAGTAATATTGCTTTAGGCTCAAAGCAGGCTGATCACATCTACTGGGTGGTGGCCTGCCCATCCCAGCCCTGAGCAGGTGCCCCCTTTACCTCCATGCTCGCACCTACCTAATGCGATGCACTGCTTTTTATCCTTCCCAAGCTCGTAGCCATCAGCACAGGAGCAGCGGTAGGAATCACTTCCTGGATAGCAGAAGTGGTCACATCCTACCTTTGCTTGGTGGTGACATTCATTTTTAGCTAAACAGAACAAA